TCAGCTGTTACTTGACTAAACGAAGCATTCAAGGGGGTAGTGGGTGAGTTGTGTCGTTGAATTCGCCGAACAGGAGTATTATCGTCGTTCTTCCTGCGCCTAGTTACATTCTGACAAAAAGGGCAACTCAGAGACGTCAATTGTTTGGCCGATTCAACAGTAACATTAAGGCATTCATAACAATATCTGGAGGCACAACTATTACATTTCAAGAAGTTACTTGTGTTCAAAATATTATCGCAACCGTGGCAATTCATATCCCGAACCCGAGACTTTGTGTAATATTTTAGATGTTTTCTTCTCGTTCGGTGATTTCCTGCACTTTACACACTTTTCTTAAGGAGTTTCAGCAGTCAATTTTTCATTGTTAAGTTAATTTTAGTAGTTTTAAATTTCTGTCACTGGCAACACTGAGTCCTGAGAATTTGACGCAACTCTGTCAATGATAACGAAAAACAAAGTTTATGTGGGTAGGCCGAAATTTTATTATTTATGTAATTGACAAACACGTATTCCTTTATAGATTTTTAGACGAAATCCAGATTTTTACATCAAGATAACACTAACACATTATTTACCATAGTCAATGAACACTTTTACATATGTTTTATTAGCTTTACTAAGCTTTAACCACAGAAATTCAATTTAGTTGACGAGCACAAACACTACAGCGACTTGACACTTGACAGGAATTTACAAGAGAAATACAAAATTTACAAGAGAAAATTTGATTGTCTTGGTTAATAAAACATTTTTTTTACTTATTTGTGATTCCTTTGCATGATATATTATAGGACTTTGATAAAATATTACTAATATCTCGATTGTATATACCTAAATTTACAACTTTTGTAAATATACGGTATTGCTCTTCGTGGTTTTGGTATTTGGTACCATTTTTGTAGGAAGTATGACCCCTCCCAGTGACTCGAGCGGGAGTGACTCCAAGGGCAGCAACACACTTATGACTTTTGAGTTGCAGGTGTCCATGGGCCGCGGTAGTTGCTACCATCAGGCGACCCGTCTGCTCGTTTGCCCCCTTATACCCCCTACCCCCTTATATAAAAAAAAACTAAGTTTTTATAACTTACCTGGAATATTCCACTTATACAATTTCGAAGCATTTTCATTATGTTTTTTTTTGTACCTGGGTGTGAAGTGATAATGTTATTTATAAGGATTTCCATCCATTTATTGTTCTTGTCAAAGTCAACTATGACAAAGTAGAAATCCAAAGTTCGAGCATGACAATACCTATTTAACCACATCTTAAAATTTCTGAGAGCTCATAGTTAGAAAAAAATCTTTCTTTTTACACATGCTACCAGGCCTGTTGGTCTAGTTCAGGGATTCCCAAAGTGGTCGATATCGACCCCTTGGGGTCGAAATTGGTTTCCCAGTGGTCGACATTAACAAAAACTGATATTGGAGGTTGACGACGTCTAAAAATCTACCCTTATTAATTAACAACACCAGTTCTCATTTGGAACTTTTAAGATACTGTATAATAATATACTGTATATTATTACTGTATGTTATAAGAATGACTAATATTTTAGTAGGAACTATCATTGTATTATTAAAAAACTCAACAAATCCATAAGCGAGCAGTAATTTAGCTATGGGGGTATTTGGGGGTCTGAGGTATCAGTTAATTTTAGGAAAGGGATGTCTTGCCCAAAATAGTTTGAGAATCCCTGGTCTAGTTGTTAGTGACCCTGACGCCGGCGCCGGAGGTCATTGGCTCGATTCTCACCCAGGATACATAATTGTGTGAAAAGCATGATCGTTTGTTCTGTGTCTTTACGCAATTTATCAATGATATGTATATATTTAGAAATATTTAAGTTTGTTTGTCAGCAGTCTGCTTTTAATACTAATTACAGACCCTGAGTGCTCTAGTTTGCAATCAGATTGCCGTGTAAGAGATGTGTGAAGTTATTATTATTTTAAATTCACTTAGTTACGAATGATATTAATAAATTACCTATGTTTTCAAGACCACTATTATGGCACGTAGCCACAAGATCTACTAATTTTGGAGTTTAAGGAAAATTATAAAGAATTATTCATTTACCTCATAGTGTTAGTGCGTGTGATATAGGTTTAATTAGTGTTCAAATAGTCTTCAACCTTGGTTTTATTCGACAGTGATTCAGAAGCTAAGGTAGAAAAACAACTTTATAGATAGATTATTTTATTGGTTTGTATAGTTCAGTTCCGTAATTACTGAGAGTCAAGATCGAAGCCAGGATTGGATATAAGGTAAGACGAACCCACGGGAAGAAAATCATTATTACACATTTTATTATAAAAAGTAATTCAAGGTATTTATTTATCTAATAGGGAATATGCACGTGACTCCAAAATGAACAAAATATTTTTATTTTTAAACTTCATTGCTAAAAAAGATACCTATACAATTATTTTTGAAATGTATCATAATTTAATAGTGAAATTTAATCATCAAAAAGTGTTTTGTTTTAAATTCCCTCGCAAATTTCTAAAACGCAACGCTATTGGTGGAATGAAACGTGACGTCAAATTTCACTCAACGTTTCTGTCAACAAGTTGTTTGTATGGTTTCTGGTGTTTATTATTTTGTATTGTTTCGCGTTTCATATTACGTTATTAGTTATATGTGTTGAAATATTAAATCCTTGTGAAGAAAAACACAATGACTGAAACCGGTTTTGTCAAAGCACAATCAGATAAAATTAAGAGATTAAAAAATACGTGTTTATGATGATCATAAATTGTTTATGTGCAGGTAACTAAGTAAAAATGATATTCACAACAGTATAAACAGCTAAAACACGATACATTGTCTCTTTTCATCGCCTTGCACCACTTAGTTTTTAAATGTATCTTTCGGCATAAGGAAAAATACTTTGTTGTTTGCAGTCTTGATGTTATTTGGCAGGTAGGAAAGATACAATATTTATAATAAGCTTTTCTGTGCTTGTCCATGGTAATAAGTTGATTTTATCCAAACCACTTCGTTGTTGACATCGAACTCTCTGTAATCTGACGTCACAGAATAAGCGCGCCAAAATGGCCGCGTTTAAATCGCCCGAAAATGATAGTGATTATTGTAAAAAAATTTAACTCAATGGTTTATATTTCGGGTGTGTTATATTTATGTTTGGTAATGTAATAACTAGTAGAAGTTTAAAAAAAAGACATGCATATTCTCTATTCGACTTTTTATTTTTATTTCTAATATCCATTCTTTGGAATTGTAGTTATACTTATGTATAGGCACTCTGCCGTCCAAGACTGTAACTCGACTTACAGTATTTTGCTTTAACAACGCTCAATCAGTTTCTTTACGTCGTCGGTTTAGTTCCCCTGATCAACACTTTTGTTATTCTAAAGTGTATTTTAGAAGAGACAATGATCTAAAAAATACTGTATTGTATTGAAATTAGGATTTTAACTATTTTTTAATTAATTTTTTTTAGGAAATGATTTTTTATTTTAATTTTTTTATTTTAATAATTTATTTATTTCTTTTTTTATAATTTTTTATATTTTATTCTTTAATAATTTATTTTAATTTATTTCTTTTTTTTTTTTTTTTAAAGTTAGTTTAATTTATTTATTTCTTTTAATAATTTATTATAATAAAAACAAATAAATCATTTCCTCAAAAAACGTAATATATTTTCAACTACCGATATTTATACCGATGCCAATGGCTACTCGATGGCATCTCAATAGCGTGTCAGTGGTATGACACTGGCTTGGCGTAATAGCAGAATTGAGGCCCTGATCGTTCGAACGAAACAGTTGGGTCGTATGACCGAACGAAACAGTTATGCGCAAACAAATTCATATTTCATACTTTTCTATTAGGGTACGTTAATTTTAAAAAGATCATAATATTCTATTATCGATTATGGAGTGTCCTGTCCTGCCATGGCTTTCCGGTCTTGAGGTTTTGTTTTTTTTAAAGTACATATTAAGTAAATTTTATCAATGAATCAAGGAATGCAACAATATTATAATAGAAGGCAATGTAAACAAATGGATATTGCTTATGCAGATTAATTGTGGAATATACCATCCAATAAACAATTATTATTATTATATTTACGAATTTTAATTCATAATCAACAGCCTGTAAGAGTTCACTACTGAACATAGCCTCTCCTTAAAAACCAGGGTTTTGGTCTACTATACCACGCTGGCCACACGGGTTGGTATAGGATTTGTTTCAAGTTTTCCTCCTCTTTGCAGTGCTGATGTCATGTCCGTATTCTTAATCCGTCACCACACGAATAGTATAGTTGCGCCATAGGACTGAATGGTTCTTGTAATGTTTAGTGAGTTCGTAAACAATCGAATCTTGAAGACAGCATCATCTAGTATCAAGTAACGCACAACGAACACTACACGTTAAATCATAATTCCGATACTTGCTACGCCATCTAGTATTGAATAACGGAAGATGGCACTCATTAAATTCTTAATTAATTATCTTTAACGCTCTATCGAAGCCATATAAACGAGAGTGTTGGTCGTACAGGCGAGTATTATTTTACGAGACAGCGGATTCATCAATAGCCTTTAATAGTCCACTGCTGGACATAAGCCTCTCCTTAGAAAGAAGCTTTTGGCCTACTATACCACGCTAGCCAGACGGGTTGGTACAGGGTTTGTGTCAAGTTTTCTTTCTCTTTGCAGTGCTGTTGTCCTGCGTAGTTAGATGTCCACTAGATGAATAGGGGTGGCGACATTCCGTATTCTTAATCCGTCACCACACGGACAGCGGATTAACACCCAAGTAATTTTCTAGTGCGACTTAGGAGTTATTTAAAAGTGTATAAGTGTAAAAGTCTATAAAAACGGTGCTAATTTTGGTAATTAACCGCTTTCTTTCGTTTGTCGAATTGCCGGCTCGTAACGGTATTTTAATTAATTTCCGTGATTTAGAATTTCAAACGATCTCTTTTTGCCGTTCAAGTTTTGTAGTCTTAAAATAACTGTTGTTCCAGATGGCGCCGATAGTAGAAGCTTTGACGGATCCGGTGTGGCTCGGCGAAGGCCCGCACTGGGATGATCGGGAACAGGCGTTGTATTTCGTCAGTATATTCGACCACACAATCAACAAATATGTGCCCAGCACCACCAAACACACCAAGGCTAAATTGGGTATGTTTCATAAGAAGATTGCTTATATCCTCTGTACTTATTTAAGTTTTGTATGAAAAAGACTAAAGCACGCATTATTTGTAAAACACAATAAATCGACGAACCTGTTGGTCAAGTGATCCTGACATCTAAACCAGAGGTAGTGGGTTCGATATCCACCTAGGACAAAGAAATTGTGTAATAGCACGATCATTTGTTCTATGTCTGTGTGCAATTTATCTATACAAATAAATAAAATTGAAGTTTTTGTTTGTAATGTCAAAATATTAGGTTTTTTCATGCTCACACGATTATTTGCACGATACCTATGCTTAAAAACCAGTTTAAATATTTTATGTCTTTCTGTCTGCCTGTTTAGTCCGGGTAATCTTCAAAACGGCTAGTCTGATTTTGATAATATTTTACTACCAGTTAGCTGTCTATACAACTTAGGCCTATTTTTCCTCTCAGAAAAACCCTTTGCAATTATGCCTGGTCCGGGAATCAAACCCTATACGGCAGCGCTTTTCAAATTACACGCGAACAAAGTCGCGGGGACTAGCTAGTCTATAATATGTATGTATTTAGAGAGATATATATAAGTATGCTTATCAGCAGTCTGGTTACCATAGCACAGGCTCTGTCTAGTTATTATTATTGCTTTTATATATATTACTAGCTGACCCGCGCAACTTCGTCTGCGTCTCTCAATAGTAATAAATTTTCTCCGTTTTTGAAACATTCTTCATTGGTGCTCCGCTCCTATTGGTCTTAGCGTGATGATATATAGCCTATAGCCTTCCTCGATAAATGGGCTATCTAACACTGAAAGAATTTTTCAAATCGGACCAGTAGTTCCTGGGATTAGCGCGTAAACAAACAAACTCTTCAGCTTTATAATATTAGTATAGATTATAAAATATCTGATGTGTATTAATAAAATACACGAACACAATATTAAAAGAAAAAGTAATTAAGTAATTAAATAAGTAATTAAAAAGTAATTTTATTTTATGTTTATTTAATTTTGTCTAAATGATGAGTATGTCTTCGCTTGCCAGATGGAATGCCCACATTCATAATACCAGTAGAAGGTAGGCCTCAGCACTTCGTGGTGGGGCTCAACCGGCTGGTGGTGGAGATCCAGTGGGACGGTGGTATGAATACCGCCAAGGTCGTCAGGACCGTCGCTGAAGTCGATCAGGATAGTCCCAAGAACAGATTTAATGATGCGAAAGCTGATCCAAAGGGAAGACTGTTCGCTGGTAAGTTTTGAAAACTTTAAAATTGTAATAACGAACACGTCCAAATTAAACACCAGATAGAACATGGAGGTTAGAGAGAAGGAGAACGATCGCTACGTGCTAGAGCATTAGCCCGCCTGTTCCGGAAAACTTGTAGAATTTATAGTTCATTTTTCAGCCACCAGTAGTATCTGTGAAGTTAGCTGTTTATGAGTAGATGAATTTAGTTGAATAATGTACAAATCGTCTTCGCGGCATTGGTGAGAAAATAATCGTGCTCCGTAATTTTTTAATTTTTGACAAAAAGAAACATTAAAAAACATCTTATATATAAAATTCTCGTGTCACAATGTTCGTTCCCGTACTCCTCCGAAACGGCTTGACCGATTCTCATGAAATTTTGTGTGCACATCGGGTAGGTCTGAGAATCGGCCAACATCTATTTTTCATACCCCTAAATGGTAAGGGTGACACATCCCTAATTTTTTTTTGTTTTGCAATACAACGTTTGCCGGGTCAGCTAGTAATTTATCATTTATTTATTAAAAAATAATAATAATTAATAATATTTTCGCTTTTTTTTTCTTTGAATGATATTATACACACGTATATTAAACACTAGCTGACCCGCGCAACTTCGTCTGCGTCTCTCAATAGTAATAAATTTTCTCTGTTTTTGAAACATTCTTCATTGGTGCTCCGCTCCTATTGTTCTTAGCGTGATGATATATAGCCTATAGCCTTCTTCGATAAATGGGATATCTAACACTGAAAGAATTTTTCAAATCGGACCAGTAGTTCCTGAGATTAGCGCGTTCAAACAAACAAACAAACTCTTCAGCTTTATAATATTAGTATAGATTGATACATCATTTCAAATCAGCTCACAACAGGCCGCTTTTATTGAGACAACTTAGCGATCACAGCGCCTCACTTATTTTGTCCATATTTCTGGGACACTATTTTGATAGCTATCGTTCTCCTTCTCTCTAACCTCCATGGGATAGAATCTGACTGACGTACGTTTATTACATCGAGAACATTCTGACAATAGCAAGATAGATTTTGACGACCGGATGGCGTAGTGGTTTGTGTAACGGACTGCTATTCTAAAGGTCGCGGGTTCGATTCCCGCTCAAGTCGAACATTTGTGTGTATGAACATTTAATGTTTGATTTGGTCTAAGTGTTTCTATGTATAATATGTATGTATTTACAAAAAAAAAGTATATATGTACTTATATCAGTTGTCTAGTACCCATAGTACAAGCTCTGCTTAGTTTGGGACTAGATGGCGTTGTGTGAATGTGGTAGAATATTATTATTATTGTTAGATTGTTGTTCTTAAATACCTAAAAGCACTGATATTTGTTCCGTAACCGTAACAAAACATACACTCGTCTGTGGTATAATATTCCTTTATCTTTATTTAACTTTTTGTCGTAATTTGTACACTTTCGGAATACACAGGAAGGCATTTTATGAACTTTTCTCGAATTAATTAGTACGTGTGCTCGCTCACAGTGGTCCTAATTAGGACCCTCGCGTTATGTGCATTGGTGGTACCTCTTGTTAATATATAATATCATTGCCTAAAAGTACCATTAACCAAGGTCATATTCCGTCTATTTCTATATTTTTAATAATAAAAATAACTCCGAACATCTGGGGTACAGGCACAATGGGTCACGAATACGAGCCGGGCAAGTTCGAGCTGAAGAAAGGCTCCCTCTATCGGATAGACTCGGACGGGAGCGTTCACAAGCTGGATTCCAACATCGACATCTCTAACGGACTCTGTTGGGATCTTGAAGAGAAGGCTTTCTACTACGCCGATTCGTTTGAGTTTGCGATTAGAAAGTACGACTACGATGTGAACACGGGCAATATCTGTAAGTATATAAAAATATTTTACACTAGTTTTTCCTACCGGCACCGCCCGCGTGTATGTCGGGTTGTGCGTAGTAGCAGTAGTAGTAGTAGCATATGTTACTCGCTGATATAATATATATATATATATATATATATTTAATTTTTGTTAAAAAGACAATTCCCGCACTAGAAATAAATCCCATTAATATTATTTTAACGGGAATTAACGCGATCTCTTATTTAGGGTATTACATAGGCCGTGGTCACAGTCAGCCTGTGACCACGGCCGGTGCAACCTGGTCGAAACGTCAGGCAAACCAGAGGTATGTAATACCCTAAATAAGAGATCGCGTTAATTCCCGTTAAAATAATATTAATTATCATGGAACGCGAAAGTTTAAAAATAAATCCTGTGTCGCGAGGGACTTTACAAACATACATGAAACGGACACAAAGAACACCCAGACTCAGAACAACAATTTGTGGATTACACAAAGTGTCGTCCTATGTTGGGATCGAACCCACAACACTCAGCGTAGTAGTAAGCGGCGAGGTGACCGCTTAAACCACTACGCTATCCGTGCAGTCGAAGTTGCGCGGGTCAGCTGGTTGTATTCATATTATTCATTCAACATACAGACCAAATACAGTAGGACTGTTCTCTATCTGCACACATAGTGCTCTGTTATTGTCACCTACTATCAAATTTTCTTTATACTATGAATTTTTCAAATCGGTTTAGTGGTTTAGGAGTGAAAGCGTAACAAACAAAGTCACTTTCACATTTATAATATAGGTGTGGATATATGTAGTTGGAATGACGATACAATAATTTGGCATCTTGGAGCTCATCTGCTAATGGACCCAGTCGGTGGATAGTTGAACTGTAGTGGTAAAAATGAAGAGTTTGGACCAGGATGATTCGTTTTGAAAAGATTTGAAGATGGTCTGATCCTGAAGGTAGCTAAGAATTAATATTTTCTATCGTATTATGTTCCAGCGAATCCCAAGAAGGTGTTCGCATACAAGGACCACGGGTTGAGTGGTATTGTGGACGGCATGACCATCGACACAGATGGGAACCTCTGGGTGGCCAACTTCGATGGCTCTCAGGTGAGTGCCAAAAACCCTTAACTAACTTACCAAGTCCCCGGTTCCTTTCAGTTTTAAGAATAAGGTGATGAATAGGATGATTGAAGAATAGGGTATTTATCAAACCATCGAGTATTCAGCTAATTCCAGTTCACTGCATAGGCATATCTGGTTTGCATCGCAATACCCGTTCCTCTGCTTTCTATCCCAAATACCATCTTCACATCTTGAGTCCAGTTTACTGAGGAGGACTAAGCATTTTGCGGTTAATATAAATTACAGCGCAATGGTTCTCACGAAAGTGTTAAAAGAATAACTGTTTCAAAGACTTGTTTATAATTCGTATTTTGTTTGTATCCATTTCGAACTAATCGAATGTTCCAGACAATGTTAGAATATTCCAGAATGTTCCATTATTGTGTTTCTAGAGGGTCAACACCCCTCTAGAAACTTTTAATCGTGGAAATGACCTGAAAGCCTATTCTCATAATAAAAATTCGGTCTCGATTCTAAAAGGTATTTTCGTAGTAAATTTTCAGACAGATTACCGATTCAGTTTTCAGTTCCAATACGATATAATCACATTACAGTCAAAGTTGGATGACTACGAAAATACTTCTTATGACAGTTTTGATATCAAGAGTAGATGGGAACTGAATTGAGCCCAACCGGCGGGCCGACTTGACCGGAATACTAAACTAAAAACACACCTACTTACCCTCCCTATCCGTAAATAAATTTTTAACTAATTAATTATGCGCGTAGGTTAACCGTTGTCCGTGTGGTGACGGATTAAGAATACAAATTGTCACCACCCCAATTCATCCCGTGGGTGTCGTAAGAGCCGACTAAGGGAGCAAACTAAGTAGGACAACAGCACTGCAAAGAGAAGGAAAACTTGAAACAAACCCTATACTAACCCGTCTGGCCAGCGTGGTATAGTAGGCCAAAACCTCCTTTCTAAGGAGAGGCCTATGTCCAGCAGTGGACTAGTATAGGCTGTTGATGATTGATGAGGTTAACTGGTCCGTTAGCATAGATTATAGCACAATGTAACTGTTTGATTTAATTGTTCTTCTTTCCATTTCAGGTGCTCAAAATTGACCCTCGCTCCGGGAAACTGCTCCAGAAGGTGAAATTCCCCGCCCCTCAAGTGACGTCAGCAACCTTCGGAGGTTCTGACTTGGACATCTTGTACGTGACGACAGCCGCCATGAACCGAGGGGAGGAGCAGAAGCCTCCCTGCGGAGCCACCTTCAGCGTGGCCGGGCTCGGGGTCTCGGGACACCCCAACACGAACGTGCGACTTAACTGAATTGAATAAAATACATTTATTGTTATTTAATGTGGTATTTTATTTATCCTCACTATTTTATAAAAACAAGCTGATTATATGAAAAAATAAGAAAATATCTCACTATATCTCACTATGTAAAAATGTAGATAGAAAAATTTACAAACAGGCATTAATATTAAACCGCCCTTAGAACGGGCCTATATTTCACCCTCTCGTCTAGACATAATGTCGTAATTGCCAGATAAGTAAGTTTCTACACCATTGAAGATTATTTCATTATCTATACTAATATTATAAAGCTGAAGAGTTTGTTTGTTGGTTTGAAGCGCTAATCTCAGGAACTACTGGTCCGATTTGAAAAATTCTTTCAGTATTAGATAGCCCATTTATCGAGGAAGGCTATAGGCTATATATCATCACGCTAAGATCAATAGGAGCGGAGCACCAATGTAGAATGTTTCAAAAACGGAGAAAATTTATTACAATTGAGAGACGCAGACGAAGTTGCGCGGGTCAGCTAGTTTATCTATAAATAACAAAATGCTTTTTGTAACAAATATATTTATTCTTAATCACGTATAAATTATAAAAATAACATAATTTTTTAAAGTTTATTATTTGTTATAAAGTTAATAAAATTATCACCTTATTTTAAAACATCCTCATGCTTTCATGAAATAGATGACATTGTCGTACCTGCCTACGACACAAACATTTAAAATTATTTCTTCTAGTACGAGTTTTTTTGTGATAACAGTTTATTATTCATAGAATATACAGTAGGATTAAATAATAGGTATATTATCAATATTTAATTTTTATTAAATATTGTCCGGCGAAAGTCCTAAAGGCATCTGCCCACTACGCCGTACCGTACCGACCGCGAGATATATGAATGAATCAATGAATTCTTGCATAATTATTTAAAAAAGTAACTATATCTGCGGTAGAGACTTAATTAACTAGATCAATTTTTGTAGTAAAACATTCGGATAATCGAAAATCCAGATAATTGAATAGACAAAAACTATGTTTACCTGATTTTATAGTTTAGAGGGCATTCTAATTTAAAATTTAAGACGTAGAAAATATCTTCTGCATAGATTAGCAAATATTTTTTTAAATATGGATTGGGATAGATGTTTTATAGACTGATGGGATTTATGACAACAAAAATCGACCAACCAGCGCTGTTTCAGATGTTTTGCTATTAATATTATGGTATAAATACTAGTGATGTAGCTGTACTGTTTTGCTATTTAATTCCAAAAGAAATTTATCTATTTCAAAGAAATACCTTTCAGAAACAATTCCTTTTTTCTACTGCGGCACTTATATCATTATAGCGAGGGAGTGGGCTAACACCTTAAAATATTACACCTCTTTATGAAGTTTAAATACACAATATTTAATATAACAAAAATTATAAAATAAAATATTTAGTTAAAATAAAAGCAATACATTAAAGCTTATAATTAACATTAGGCTTCCCTTTCACTCCCAAACCAGTCACCATAAAGGTAGCGCCACACAGTTGGTCCTGGGCTCCTTGAAAGTTCATGCTCACCGTGGTGACGAACAGTATATCATAATTGGGGCCCCCAAATGTCGCCGAGGTGACTTGTGGGGCTGGAATGGGGATCTTTCGGAGCAGGCTTCCGGTCCTCGGGTCAATGTTGATGATACAAGAGCCATCGAACACTGCTACCCATAAGTTACCTTCGTTGTCTATGGTACAACCATCGGGGAAGCCGGTGATGTTATTTTTTACGAAATCGAATATGAATTTCATGTTAGCTGAAACAAAAAAAAAACATTTATTGTATCACTTTTAGCAATTAAAAAAAGAGCGCGAGTGTAATAAAATAGGGGTATATCTAAATGCCATTAAATCAAAACACCAACGACATGGTAAAATTTGTAGCGACTGCCAGATACAACGATACAAAAACATACTTCAGTACTTCATACTACCATATAATGAGGATACACCGAAATACTAACCCTGCATCGCGCAATAAAAAAAATCGAGTCGCTTCATCAACAGCTTTTAATAGCCCACTGCCGGACATAGCCAGAGGGCTATGTCCGGCAGTGGGCCATTAAAGGCTGTGCTATTAAAGGAGAGCCTTAGAAAGGAGGTTTTGGCCTACTATACCACTCTGGCCAGACGGGTTGGTATAGGGTTTGTTTCAAGTTTTCCTTCTCTTTGCAGTACTGTTGTTCTGCGTAGTTTGCTCCCTTAGTCGGCTCTTACGACACCCACGGGATGAACAGGGATGGTATTGTCACCACCCCGGTTCACGTATTCTTAATCCGTCACCACACGGACGCGGACACGACGCTTAGTATATATAAAACGTCCGAAACCGACAGCAATCAGTGTCCACGACTATAAATAAGCAGTCAATAATCCATTGACCCTGGCCCTTGACATCAACATCAACAGTCTTTCCAATGCATGTATGGCGTATTGGTTTAAGCGGTTACCTCACCGTTTCCTACTGCGCTGAGTGTTGTGGGTTCGATCCCCACATGGGACAACACTTTGTGTGATCCACAAATTGTTGTTCTGAGTCTGGGTGTCCGTTTCATGTATGTTTGTAAAGTCCCCCGCGAAGCAGGATTATTCATTTTTGTCTTTAAAAAAAAATAAAAAATTAGGTTCTGACCCGCTATAACGCGCTGGTCAGACGGTTTGGTATAAGGTTTATTTTAAGTTTTCCTTCTCTTTGCAGTTTACCAGCATAGTTTGCTCCCTTAGTCGGCTCTGACACCCACGGGAAGAATACCCTATTTTTCATCCGTCACCACATGTCACACATTCAATACTTCGATACTCTAATATATTCAAAAAAGAAAAAAAAACACACTCTGTCCCATCAAAGCAGGCATAGAAGGAGGAGGTCAGAATACGAACACAAGTTCGTAAGGATCTCTGATACCATCTGCTTTCTCATAATAGATATATGCTTTAAATTGCACCTACGACTCAAAAATCACATAAGCGTTGCCAGTCTTCGAGTCCCTCTCCCCCCAGAATTAGGTGAGGGGTCGTTATTTGACTCCAAAGCTGTATAAAACATAACAACTTACACATTTCTCCAGTCTCTACATCATAATCATATCGTCTGATATTCTTCTCGAGCGAGTCCGTATAGTACATAGCTTTCTCGCGTAAGTCCCACGCTAGGCCGTTGGAGATACTAACTTTGTCCACTACTTTCGTCACCTTGGATCCATTTATACGGAACAAGCTGCCTTGCTGTTGTTTGTACACGCCGGGAGATTCCTCGTGCCCCATAGTACCTGCACGCAACAAACTATATAGCAACGTACTGAGTTACATTTATCACATCAAACACACACAACTTACTAACTTTACAAATATTAAAACTTTATTATCGGCAGTCTGGTTAACATTGTACAGGCATTGCGTAATTTGGAATCAGACCGTGTGTACTGACTAAATATTGACAATGATAACACAAGCCAATAAAAAAATTACCCAGAAACTAAAGTATACTTTTCAGAAGGATATTGTTACCTACCATGTGATTTGGTACACAGCACTTACCAGCAAAGACTCTGCCCTTGGGGTCCGCTTTCCCATCATTAATCCTGTTCATGGGCACATCCTGGTCCACTTCAGAGATCTGCTTCACTACGGTGGCGGGGGTGCCTTCGCCTCCATCCCACTTTATTATCAGGAACTTATGCTCAACACCAACTAGGAACTGATCCGAGGTCCCCTCCACAGGAATTATGAAGCCCACACGTCCATCTAAATGGAAAATATAAAGAATAGAAAATACCTTTGCAATTGTTGTCATATTTTTATTCCGTTTCTAGAATATTCATGAACATGGACGAATAATTAGTATGAAAAAAATAATCAAAAACTGACAATCAAATGATGTTATTTTAACATTAATCAGAAACTGATAAATGAGACGACAGACGTGACTCTTCCACGTAACAAGTGCTGTGCCAGAAATTAGCACCTATGTCATCATCATCGTTCAAGAGGATGATGATGAGGATACATGGTGAGATCGACAGTTTGAAAACAGGTCGTACAAACGTCGTTTAATCTCCATACATTCTACACCACAAACAATAGTTGCTTGTTTTGTCATAGCCAAACACCTTACGACGAATCATCTTTAAGTTTCAGTGATGAAGGCACTATCACTAATTTGCACTATAAGTTGCAACACATTGAAAGTAATTTAATCATGACAAAATCAATGCCGTGGACAATCTTCTAAAAAACACGCATTTTAAAAAGTAAGCACTCACCAAGTTTCGTCCTGGTATGTTGTCCAGTAGCTGGAACATACTTGTGTATGGTATGCTCACGGATGCTAACAAAGTATAGCGCCTGTTGCTGATCGTCCCAGTGTGGACCCTCGCCCAGCACCACCGGCTCTGTGATCTTCTGAACTTTGACCGACATCTGGATATAACACTTGCATTATTTTATTATATATACCTATCATTCCCTACATAATAATTTAAAGAAATACTAGATTTATGGTTAAATAGGCAAAATAGGGTCTTTATGTCTCGTCTGAAAACAGCTTATTGGCAACAACGCGTGAGTACATAGCAACCCTAACTTAGGAAGGAAAAAAATGAATGATAGATCACAGTTCACTGTGATTTTGTCCCATGCCTACTACCTATTATTAGGTTTAATTATTGTTAGGTTTGCTTCACTGTCCGTGTGGTGACGGATTAAGAATACAGAGTACCACCCCTAATCATCCCGTGGGTGTCGTAAGAGCCGACTAAGGGAAAAAACTACGCAGGACAACAGCACTGCAGAGAGAAGGAAAACTTGACACAAACCCTTTACCAACCCGTCTGGCCAGCGTGGTTTAGTAGGGCAAAACCTCCTTTCTAAGGAGAGGCCTATGTCCAGCTGTGGACTATTTAAGGCTGTTGATGATTAATGATGATGATGATGAAAATGGTTACTGTGGGTATCCTTAGGAGTGTGTGTGGTATCCTTGTGTGGGTTCTGATTCTTAGAATGTAAGTTTGGGAAAGGAAAACGGCTAGGGATGAGAAACAGGACTGAAACTAGCCCAAAGATGTCGGGTTGCTGCTTTACATCGGTTCTATGTGAGACTGTGATATCACACCGTTTTTATGTGAGACTGTGATATTACAACGGTCGAGCCACACATTTGTGCATGAGAATGGCTCTCCCACGGCAAATTATTATTTTAATTTATTTCGACTTTGTTCCATTAAAACTGTAATCATCGGTTATGATATAAATAAAACTTATCCAACAAAGTAAGGCAGGTCCATCATAAAGCAGAAAAAACAATAACGTAAATAAGTTCGAAAAGTTCCATCTTAACTTTTTTATTTGATCTGAGGCCTGCCTCTGCTTTACGAGGAAGAAGGATATTCTAGTTGCCTGACTAATATTCAGGCTACAGTTTCTTTACATTATATGAATGAACACCAACTTTTATGGTAACATTGTTTTTATTTATGTGTACCAGTGATGAAAGGACTCAAGGCTTATAAACTTTTATAATTAAAACTAGCCTCTATTTTCAAGTCTTGACCCCAAAATTACGACTTGAGGCTTGTTACTAATGGGAAACAACTCGAGTCATTAAAAAAGACTCGAATCAATAAAACGACTCGGGTTCTTTACTAAGAGGTTCAACGCTTAGTCGCGAGTCTTTTAAGTAAAGAATCGTGTCGTTTAACAAAGCGAGACGTTGAATATGAGATCATAATTAGTTAAACTTCAGTTAATGATTATTACATATTTATAACAGATCAGGAGGGACTGAATTCTAGTAATTTAAAGTAAGAATAAAAGTGGCCGTATACCACTCTTCAAGTGTAAAGGTTATACTATAAGTCTAGGTTATACTAAAAGTCCGACATAAACTGAAGTTTAACCAATGATGGTCTCATATTTAACGTCTCGCTTTGTTAAAGGCCTCGAGTTCTTTACTTAAAAGTGTCGCGACTAAGCCTTGAACCTCTTAGTAAAGAACTCGAGTCGTTTTATAGATTCGAGTCTTTTTTCACAGTTCGAGTTTATCACATTAGTAACAAGCCTCGAGTCGTAATTTTCGAGGCGAGTCTTCAAAATCGAGGCCAGTCTTAATTATAAAGGTTTATAATTATGAGTCCTTTTATCACTATGTGTACCTTCTATAGACCTTCATATTAAAAATAAATTGCACCATAATTGCAACCCCATTTTTCATCGTAAATCGTCGATACTTCATAAATCAAGTCAAATAATACAAAAATAAAAATGTAAAACTGCATATTTATTTAAAAAAATATTTTTCCAAATTCTCCAAAAATGTTTTAAAATAGCTGTTAGAACGCCACACGACTAGCGGCTTAATTAAATATACATATTTAAAAAAAAAAGTCATTACTGTCATGTTATTTAGCTCAGTAATTATAATTAAGTTAAAGAATATTGTTAGTATCCGTCTAATTAATCATAATTAAAAGTATATTATGTAACACGACTTACCAGGTAATCACTCAACCGACTTATGTATCCACTCCACCGAATGACTGCGCAATGATAACTCTCAGATGAATTGAAAAGCAATTTTATCTCAAATAGCTTAAGCCTTGCTATTGTTTACACAGTTGACAGTAGGTACGCAACTATGCACTCTGCAGTGTTGTATTCTTCGGTGACAGAAAATAATTTTGATTCGTAACTCCGATACTTGCAGTGCCACCTAGTGTGGAATAACAGAAGATTATTAGTCCTAAAAAATGCCTTATTATCTGGAATGCTCTATCGAATCCTAGGGATTATTCTGGTTATTTTGGCAGCCCTATAAAAGCGGAGCGTATTGGCCGTACGGGCGAGCCACCTCTGTCGCTGGTCGCTCAGAGCTGGGCCTCCCTAGGTATCGCCTGGGGTCTCATCACGCTCGGGAGTGACCGCCGAGGCAGCGTGAAGATCGAAACAACCCCTTCCAGACAAGACCAATCTTGACTAGAGCACCCTATAACCCACCCCTATTAGAGGTAGCGGTAGACACCGCTGGCAGGGGGCTGAAACCCAGCCGCGCACCTACGGCACGGTGTGAAGACCAGTGCGTACGGGCGAGTATTTTTTTAATCACTAAAGCAACAGGCCCGTGAATAACATACAATACTTTATAGTAATACTGTTACGAGCGGGGTATATAATAAATAAAAGTTGTCGGTTAATTACTTTATTGCACTGTATTTACAAACACACTATAATAAACTAGAAATCACTATATATCTCGTACTAGAAATTCACTTCGATGTTAATTTGCTGTGTCGTAAAACGATACTGTGTCGAACGGCCCTAGTATTCGATAGTCCGTTCCTGACAAACAAGAATATTCCAGAATTAGTCACGCGTTACTTTCAGCACCATCTAGCGCTGTAAGGATCAGAACTATGAACCACAATCTTAATAGATGTACTTTACTCGATAGTAGATGGAACAATCGAACTTTTTAATCCAATGGCTCAACAATACTGAAATATCTATGTATGTAGTACAATATTGTATTATATGATGGGTGTTAAGCATTTATTATATACGTGTAGCTCTAGATAAAGTAATTCAAATAAATGAAACGTTAAAAATGGTATCCAATTGCAAATATATGTGAAAGTGTGCAAATGTAGTTATTATCCACAACTTGTCACTGAGTGTTTAACATACTAATGCCTGTTCCGAATTATTTCTTATTATAAGTAGATGAAGGGTTAATAAATGATAAAGGGGGAGGATTTTAGAGAGGCCTGCGCGGAACCGTCTCTTGCATGCGTGCGTGAGCATTGTCCGGTAGTCGTTTCTGGTATTTCTCCATTCTCTATTGCATGTGTCAATGTGGAGTGTTCCAAATAATTGTTCAGACCAATACCGGGCCGCAGCTTTCCGCCATCGTTCTGCGACAATACATCCATCACATTGGATAATTGGCACTTCACCACTGGACCAAATAGTCGCCTACGGTATTTCCAGACCGATGCGAATGCTTCATCTGTCATCCCGTTATTGAGGACGGAGGTCGTTCAGCGACTTAGAATTTTACTAGTTTGGACTTGTAACGATACGTCAAGATTTGTGCCCAACGATGTATGAGAGATGTATTTAAACTACCCTTAGAACGGGCCTGTACTACACCATTGAAGATCATTTATTTATAAACAATAAAATGCTTTTTGTAACAAAATATTTTTAATCTTAATTATGTATAAATTACTAGCTGACCCGCGCAACTTCGTCTGCGTCTCTCAATAGTAATAAATTTTCTCCGTTTTTGAAACATTCTTCATTGGTGCTCCGCTCCTATTGGTCTTAGCGTGATGATATATAGCCTATAGCCTTCCTCGATAAATGGGCTATCTAACACTGAAAGAATTTTTCAAATCAAACCAGTAGTTCCTGAGATTAGCGCGTTCAAACAAACAAACAAACTCTTCAGCTTTATAATATTAGTAAAGATGAAAAATAACACATAATTTCAAAGTGTAACGTTTTTTATACAGTTAATAAAATTATCAGTTTATTTTAAAACATCCTCATGCTTTCATATAATAGATTACATTGTGATGCTCGTACCTGCCTACTACACAAAATATTTAAAGCTCTTTCTTTTAATTTGAGTTTGATTGTTTGTAATTCATTATTCACTAGCTGGGACCCGCGGTGTTACCTGCGTTTGTTGTTATAACTGCGGGCTACGCCGCGGGGCAAAGCTAGTCTAAAAAAAGTAGCCTAAGTTACTCCTTATGTCATCAGCTATCTGCCAGTGAAAGTCCCGTCGTTATCGGCCCAGCCGTTCCAGAGATTACCCGGAACAAACAGACAGACAGACAGACAAATTAAAAAAAAAAATGTTATTTTGGCATATGTACCATGTAAACATACATATACATTTAGTACAAAGCGGTTATTTTAATATTACAAACAGACACTCAAATTTTATTTATTTGTATAGATAGACTTTATACGTACGATTAGATCATAGGTAAAATAAAAATACTTAGGTATATAAAGCAGGTAGGAGTCTTAAAGGCATGTGCCCACTACGCCGTACCACGGTAATGTTTTCTACTACTGAACATTACCGTTACATAAAGTTCAGTTGCGGGTGTACGATCGCCAAATATCTCAGGTGAATGAATTAGAAATATTTTAAAAGGTAATCATGGACAATGGACCCTTAATTAACCGGGCTAATCGTTGTGGAAAGGCATTCGGATAATTAAAAATCCGGATAATTGATTGCATAAAAGCGATTTTTTACACGATTTTGTAGTCCATTATACCTATAGTAAAGTCTTATAGTCTCCACTAGAATAGATATGAGAGGACATTCTTGTATTTTCAAATTAAAGATATATATAAGAATATGTAATATCTTCTGCATAGACTGGCAATCTTTTTTTTATATGGACTAGGGTTGGAATAAAAGGACATGGCCAATTTATACAAGGCCCTCTGCCTAGCTTGTAAAAGTTCATGTACATTAACGAAATTTTGCTTTTTGGAATTAAATTTGTCCTAAAAAATATAATGTATATGTTACATATTCCATGTACTTCAGATTTTTTAGATATTTACATAAAAGGATGTCATGTTTTAATCCTTCTTAAACTTAAAAGCAATGAGTTCATAGAAACTGTTTTGCTTTCATAAAAACTACAGGCGTTCGGAGCACTGAAAAGGTATTAAATGGATACATAATAAAAATAAATACGATATTATTTTTAAAGACGACCGTGGTAGTAAGTGCGTTTGAATTAAGTGGCCCTAGTTCGGTTTCCAGTCGGTAAAACATGCTTAAGTTTATCCTGAAAAAGTATTTTTTAACGAGGATGCGATAACTAAGAAATATAATTATTAAATACTTCAAGATTATTTTAAGTTCAGATTTTAGATTAAGGTGCGCTGAAGGACTGAGTGGATGCTCAGTCCGTGAAGTAAAGCAATGGTCGTTATAATTATGGGTAAACGTTGAAAATCGCACTATTCACACAAAAACGCAAGCGTAAATAATACACAAAGTAGGTAGGTACTTTTGTATAAATAATACAACGTGAGCAAAATGCCAAAATTCTAAAATATAGTGACAGATCCGCTGTCATGATAACATAGCATTACGTTTTGTTTAGCAAATCACAAAGAAGTATAATTATTATGAATTAATAACAATCATTTATAATATTTTTATATATGTACATAAATATCATTACTATATTGATTTTTAATCTTTAGTACTATTTTGAACCAACGTAATTATTTTTACATATTTACGCTGGTTTTATCATGGTTTTATACGTAAACATTACTTTTACTGGAAACACGTTTTCTCAAAATGGCGCAGAACCTGAATGTATAGGAAATAAAAAAAAAACTCTTTAATCTTGTGTTAACACTCGGAAATTAGGCAGAAATATGAAGGATGCCATAATTTATATATTTCTTTTTATTTTCTTATCATAAGGCTGTTATTAATGTACATGCTACCAAAAACTAGGCAGAAACTGGCCATGTCCTTTAAATCATATGATTTGTAAATCATATAATTACACTTGTGACTAATTTACAAAACTACTGCAGCTTATCATTATTATTACGCTAGCGCCAGACTCGTAAAAGGTCTAAATATAAAAAAAGGTCCTAATCTTTGATATAAAAAAATTTGATAGGTTTTTATGGCGTTTATCTTTGTCTATGACCAAATCACAATCACAGATGAAATAGCAGTGACTAAATTAAACATTTCGTCATATAATTATGATATAAAAGTAGCAATAATTCCCATGTCTATTATGTCATGTGATTTTAGACATAAAAAATCGATCAACTACCCCTGTTTCAGATATTTTGCTACTAAAACGTAGTTGAACTAAGTATTTTGTTATTTAATTTCAAAGGACTTTATTTCTTTCTGCAAACAAGTCTGTCTTTCAAGCTTTTTGAATTAAAGAATTCTGCTTCATATTTAGTTCAGATATATTCAAATCGAGTACTCGATTTTTAGAAAATCCACGTTACATACACTAATATTTATGCAAAGAATAGTTTTTGCAAATGTCATACAGTAACGCTACCGTATTATTATAACGGGGTAGTGGGTTGACGCCTTAAAATATTACACTTCATTATAAAGTTTAATTACATAATTTTTACTTAGTTTATTAAAATCTTTTAAATATAATATTTTTTTATAACAAAAAGAATACAATAATAAAAACATTAAAGCTTATAATTAACATTAGGATTCCCTATCACTCCCAAACCAGTCACCATAAAGGTAGCGCCACACGGTGGGTGCTGGGTTCCTTGAATATTCATACTCGCCGTGGTAACGAACAGTATATCGTAGTTGGGGCCCCCAAATGTCGCCGAGGTGACTTGTAGGGCTGGAATGGGGACCTTTCGGAGCAGGCTTCCGGTCCTCGGGTCAATGTTGATGATACAAGAGCCATCGAACACTGCCACCCATAAGTTACCTTCGTTGTCTATGGTACAACCATCGGGGCAGCCGGTGATGTTATTTTTGTCGAAATCGAATATGAATTTCATATTAGCTGAAACAAAAAATAATAAACATTCATTGTTTTGCTTGTATTTTAAAGTGTATCTGCTAAGCTCTACCAATCTAAATTTAAGGTCTCTTAGATTTATTTTTAACATTTTATTGACGTGACAACGTCTTATAAATTGGTTTGCCGGGTGACACTTCAAGAAACTGCGTTACGCTCCGCTCACGTTATGCGCTCACAATGAGAGCGAGTGAGAGGCACGCGTCCCTTCCAATCGGGCATGGTTAGCCCGCCTAAGAGCGAGAGAGACAGACATAGTCGTTGTCACATAAAACTTTCGCCCGTATACCGACTTTACAGGCAACCAATTTTTATTATTTATTAATTTATTTGTGGTTTTTCATAATTTGTTCAGATTGTTAAAAATAATGACTGCACGGATGGCGTAGTGGTTTAAGCGGTCGCCACGCCGCTTCATACTACGCCGAGTGTTGTGGGTTCAAACCCCACATGGGACGACACTTTGTGTGATCTACAAATTGTTGTTCTGAGTCTGGGTGTTCTTTGTGTCCGTTTCATGTATGTTTGTAAAGTCCCCCGCGACACAGGATATTTTCCTAATGCGGGAGTTGTCTTTAAAAAAAAAGAAAAAAAATGAACAATAAAGTTACATGGCACCCTTTTTTCCATTTGTATGAAAGAACCCAAGAGTATTCTTCACCAGAGCCGAAAGAGGAGAGGTATGAAGGACTCGAAGCGACTAAAACCACTCGCTGTTCAGTCACAAGTGAGTCTTTTGCAGGAGACGGAGAGTCACGGAGAACCCCTACAGACTTAGGTAGATAGTATACTACCACAGATATCGTAATAATAAGACACTTGTGTGCGATTTCTATATATAGGAACTACCCTATAGGCAGGTGCTTATCAAGAAAGTAGGTGACCATACTGTGACATGGTCACCTACTTTCTTGATAATATACTTATGTTCGCCCCCCCCCCCCATTTCCCTACTCCCTGATCTGAGAAGCGAGCAACACTTAGCGGCATTGTCTCAGGCATGCTTTTGCAAAAGTAACAGCCAGCCCAACAAGTACCCCCCCACCCGTGCTTATTTAGATCAGAGATCAAAGTTGAAGTAGTAGTAACATTATCTCATCATCATCACCAGCCTCTACTAGTCCACTGCTGGACATAGGCCTCTCTTAAGAAAGGAAAGGAGGTTTTGGCCTACAATACCACGCTGGCCAGACGGGTTAGTACAGGGTTTGTTTCAAGTTTTCCTTCTCTTTGCTGTGCTGTTGTCCTGCGCTGCGCTATTCCCTCAGTCGGCTCTTACGAAACCCACGAGATGAATAGGGGAGGTGACACTCTGTATTTTGAATCCGTCACCACACGTCACACATTTAATAACTGGGTACTCAAATGTAAACAAAAAAAGGCCCTAAAAATTACACTTTTCGTCCCATCAAAGGTATGGGAGGAGCTCAAGGTCAGAATACAAACACAAGTTCGTAAGAATCGCAGATACCATCCGCTTCCTCATACTAGTTAAAAAATACTTTATTTTAGCCCCTGCGAATCAAAAATCACAAATGCGTTGAGAGTCTTTGAGTGCCTCTCCTCCTAGATTAGGTGGGGGGTCGTTATTTGACTCCAAAGCTGCATAAAACATAACAACTTACACATTTCTCCAGTCTCTACATCGTAATCATATCGTCTGATATTCTTCTCGGCCGAGTCTGTATAGTACATAGCTTTCTCGCGTAAGTCCCACGCCAGGCCGTTGGAGATACCAACTTTGTCCACTACTTTCGTCACCTTGGATCCATTTATACGGAACAAGCTGCCTTGCTGTTGTTGGAATACACCAGGAGGATCCTCGTGCCCCATAGTACCTGCATGCAACAAAATATATATAACTACTGATTTACTTCCATATTCTACATCTCTGTGTGTTTTTGATGTGCTAAATCAAAAACACACAGAGATGTAGAATATGGAAGTATTTACAAATATTAGAACTTGTTTATCCGCAGTCTGGTTACCATGATACCCACAGGCTTTGCGTTATTTGGGATCAGACGGCCGTTTGTTATACATAGTCCATAGTCCATATATTGACAATGATAATTGATGCTACATTCCATTCTAGTTTTGGAACGCGTTTTCCCCCTCTCCCGTGTACGTCGGTTATCACTCCTTCTCTTCCTCAAGAATCAAAGTATCTCTATGCCAAATATCATTAAAATTGGCTCAGCGGTTTAGCCGTAAAAACGAAACAGACAAAGTTACTTTTGCATTTCTAATATTAGGAGAGATTAATGCCAATAGACCAGCGTTGTTGTCTAATGTAGCCCAGTGTTTTACTATTTAAGCTATAGTACCTGGATGACTGAACTTTGCTCGGATATTATTTTTTTGTATTTTTTTTTAAATGAAACCTAGTTAGATCGATTGATCGCCCCCGAAACCCCCAGCATACTAAATCTCATGAAAATCTTTGGAGCCGTTTCCGAGAGAGATAAATATATGTATAAATATTTTAGTGTAGTGGTATATTCGGTCGCCACGTCGCTCAGTGTTGTGGGTCGGATCCCCACATGGGACGACACTTTGTGTGATCTACAAATTGTTGTTCTGAGTCTGGGTATTCTTTGTGTACGTTTCATGTAAGTTTGTAAAGTCCTCAAGGACATAGGATATATTCCCAATTAATCGGGCGGGCGTTCTCTTTTATTGTCTTTTATTACAAATACAAGAATTGCTCGTTTAAAGGTAGTAGATAATGTTTAATGGTACTTTAAAATACTTTAAATCATATATTTGGCCCGTTGGGGCACTTCAAGTGTAGCAAAAAAACTTTTAAAGTTTATTATTCATTGTGTTAATATAGTCAATCGAAGAAAGTGTAAAATCTGAGACATCAACACAGTACTTACCAGCAAGGACTCTGCCCTTGGGGTCCGCTTTCCCATCATTAATCCTGTTCATGGGCACATCCTGGTCCACTTCAGAGATCTGCTTCACTACGGTAGCGGGGGTGCCTTCTCCTCCGTCCCACTTTATTATCAGGAACTTACGCTCAACACCAACTAGGAACTGGTCTGAGGTCCCCTCCACAGGGATTATGAAGCCCACGCGTCCATCTGGATGGATCAGACAAAGAATAGAAAATAACTTTGCAAATATTTTTATTCCGTTTAACTAACTAATTGTACTTAGTTGCTTAAACAATTACTATAAAAAATAATTTGAATGATCTTAAAAAATCATCAGATGACGATATATGAGAATACTCTTCCACGTCACAACAGTAACAAGTGCTGTACCAGAAATTAGTACCTATGTCATCATCGTCGTTCAAGAGGATGATGATGATACATGGTGAATTGGTGAGATCGTCGTACAAACGCCGTTTAATCTACAGCATACATGCTGTTTATTTTGTCATAGCCAAACCTTACGACGAATCATCCTTAAGTTTCAGTGATGAAGGCACTATCACTAATTTGCACTTTAAGTTGCAACACATCTAAAGTATTTTAATCAATGCGGTGGACAATCTTTTAAGAAAGACGCATCTTAAAAAGTAAACACTCACCAAGTTTCGTCCTGGTATGTTGTCCAGTAGCTGGAACATACTTGTGTATGGTATGCTCAAGGATGCTGACAAAATAAAGCGCCTGTTGCTGAGCATCCCAGTGTGGACCCTCGCCCAGCACCACCGGCTCTGTGATCTTCTGAACTTTGATCGACATCTGGGGATAACACTTACATTATAGCTGGTAAAATAATGAGAAAAAGATTTTGTATTTTAAGACTGGTTTAAAGGTATTTTTCGTCAAAGCAAAACAAATAACCGTATGGTGACGGATTAAGAATACTAGTACAGAGTGTCACCACCCCTATTCATCCCGAGGGTGTCGTAAGAGCCGACTAAGGGTGAAAACTACGCAGAACAACCACACTGCAAAGAGAAGAAAAACTTGAAACAAACCCTATACCAACCTGTCCGGCCGGCGTGGTATAGTAGGCCAAAACCTCTTTTCTGAGGAGAGGCCTATGTCCAGTATTGGACTAGTAAAGGCTGTGGATGATGATGATGTTGAAAACATTGCCCTTGCCTATTGGTCCTTCATATGATAATTTTGTCTGGTGTATATCGATGCCCTTAGCCAGCAAATCGAACTAAAAACTGAAAAACAACTTATAGTTAAAGAAAAAAAAGCCGTGTGGTGTCGTGGGACACCCGATAGGAACGAAGTTGTGACGATCGAGTAAAACTGATTCGACACGATTTTAATTACAACGCCATCTATGAAAGCGGCTATTACCTACATATCTTTCAGTTGGTTTCTAATTAAAACAATTTATACATTGGTAAAATCTCCTTGAGAATGATTTCCTATCTATTCGATAGATGGCGCTGAATGACTGACAAGTGACAATTCAAAATAAATACTGAGATGAAAAGTAATGATTTCCTATCTATTCGATAGATGGCGCTGAATGACTGACATAAAAAAGTGTCGTTACAACTTTTCGTGAGATTTTTTTCCGCCTAGCCCCCTTTCACAATGCGCGATAAGGAACATCGTTCCAAAAACTAGTTTTAAACTATTATTTATTTGTTTGTCACTATACTTTTCAGGAGTAGGTATTATGTGCGCCTACTCCTCAGTTATTCTGACCGCTTCTCGGGCTCCCCTTCCGGAACTAAATAGTTAATCCGGACTGCGGACGATGAGAGATTATGGAAAAAAACTTTTGCTTGTACAGTAAGTAAATTCACAAGGCTAACATTACTAATATGTAATAAGGTTTAGAAAATGAGTTGTTATTACTAGGTTTGCTTTACTATTGCATTGGCCATACCTGTAATGATAGTGGTGAATGATGATTATGATAAAACACTCAAATAATATGAATGATTTAATAAAATTCTTGTATTACTACAAGTTTCAATGTAATGTAACGTTTTGAAACGTTTAACGATTCCGATACATACACAAATATACATCTATTAAAAGTTTTTTGAAAAGAATGTTGATAGACAGACGATTAACGTATTGATTCTATAGCAGTTTCATTTTTCTTTTTGAAGAACGAAACCCAAAAACTGAGATCGACAAAGGGTTTATTCTACAAACAATTAAAATTAGACGTGCATTATAAAACACTGTACCTAAGAGAAACTAAAAAGTTATAGTTAAAAATAACAAATAAAAAATATAAACTATATATAATAAAAAATATATAATAAAAGTTATTGACAAAGTTTTCTTTTGTATCAAAATAAAACTTTTATCCTTGTATTTTTTAATATTTGAACAATAAATATAAAAAGTATAACTGTTTGCCAATAAATCTTTATTGTAAACGATAAATAAAACGATGGCTTATGATTTACATAAAGATTGTGTCATGTTATGATTATGGCTTTTTTGTGTGTGTATTATTATTACTATTACTCAGTAGGTAATATTATCTGAGACAGTCTGGTTTCAGGGTGACACACTTCGCTTATAAACAAGAGATAACTGTTACTTTGGATTATGTGTGGAATGAAATCACCATCATAATGTGATAAATCATATGATTTATAAATCATATCATCACACACGTGAAAAAGGTCTTGATAAAAAGAATTCTGGTTGATTTTAATGCTATTTGTCGTTGTCTATGACGAAATCACAATCACGTGTGAAATAGCTGTAACCAAAACCAATCCTTTCAACAAATGAATATGATTTAAAAGTAGCAATAATTACCATAATATATCTACTTTGGATACCTAAACAATTTAAAAAACAAAAGATAAAAGTAAGAATCTTAAGTTTCTTATCAACAGACGTAGTCTAACTTATCTATACTAATATTATAAAGCCGACAAGTGTGGTTAAACGCGTTAATTTCAGGAACTACTGGTTAGAAATGAAAAAGCTTTTGAGTGCTGGATAACCCATTTATCGAGGAAAACTATAGGCTAAAGAAGAGGAAAGAGTTATTCCTTTTGAGAGATTTATGAAGTTGCACGAGTCGGTTAGTCATAAATAAATTCAAACCTTTTATTGGATAATATTTTTTCTACTATTACCCAATAAAATTTGAGGTCGACGTAATGTTAAATGCACAGGGGTTTAGGATGTCCAGCCTGTGATTGGAGACGCATCTAGGACGTGGACATCATTGTGATTGATGTATTTGCATTTATTTCGGTTTTGCGACATTAAAACTGTAACTATCAGTTACAATATGAATGTAACTTGGGTCCATATTGGCTCACATAAAATCTTATTCCTATTTTTTATATAATACCGATTTGTGTCCATAATACTCGTAATCACTCTTAACATTTTTTTGCTCATACTTTTTTGTTCATAATTTTTTGTTACTTCTAACGGAACTCATAACAGACAGTTATCCTATTTTTTAGATTAATATTTGAATTACTAAGAATATATTTGAACTCATAACGTTGTTTTTCAGTACAGTTTCTTTCATAACAGACAATTATTATAATTTTCTTATTAATAATGGCATTTCTAAGATTATTTAAACTCATAATACTTATTGTGTTTCATAACGGTAACTATTTAAAATAAGATTTAAAATATCGTTTTTTTAAGCTGTTTCATAGCGTCTATCGCGGGCCTTGAGCGTGGAGACCGAATCCAGAAATTCCGTAACGAAAATAACCTAACACCTCCCACTCCGACTTGCACAGCGGTGATACTTTTTAGTTTTGCCATCTATCGATGAATAGCAGAACTTTTTTTAAGGTAGGGTGTTCCTTTGACATGACAAAGGGGGAGACCAGTTCATTTTTATTAATGTAATAACACCCACATACAAACCCCCCCCCCCCCCCCACCAAAAATTTTATAATTGCATTGAGGTCCCATGTTTTTGTTTGTCTGAACCTTGAAAAGGAGATGAACAATCTGGCCCCTACAGATTTTTTTGAAAAGTATCGTAACATATAACAACACTTCAGTCTGTTTTTCTAAAGAGGGGCGAGGGGGGCGGGGGTATTTTCGAGGGATGACTTATTTTTTTATGATTGCATTGCGGTCCGCACAAAATGCCCTCACCCTTCAACTTTTTTCATTTATCCCCACTTTGATTTTCTCGGTTCCTGGAGCACTTGGACACCCCATGTTTGGGTTCGTCTGAACCGGGAAAAGGAGACGAACAATCTGACGCCTACAGATTTTTTAGCTGACTTTGTTCGTGTGGAATTTGAAAACACTGCCTTAGTGGGTTCGATTCCGGAGCCGTGCAAAATTCTATAGGGTTTTCCTAAGATAATTATTTAATACTAGCTGGTACCCGCGACTTCGTACGCGTGGAATTTGAGAATGCTGCCTTACTGGGTTCGATTCCCGGCCGGGCAAATTTCTATAGGGTTTTCCTAAGATAATTATTTAATACTAAGTTTATTAATACTAAGTTGATAAAAAATGCTATGCAATAGTTTTACCGCGGCAGTCCCCGAGTGAAACACGTCTTTTTTTTTTAAAGGTCTGTTAGCATCCGAAATTACTAAATTACTAGTATTCCCTTTAAGCCCTCCCACTAAGCTAAATTGCTTGTGTTAGGAGTGGGTTCACGTCGGTAATGTACTAGTCAGGATTTGAAACCACGATCACCACCCATTTGTTAAGTTGTTAACATTTTTTTGCTGTTAGAAGTTAAATCGTGCAAACTTTTTCTCTCAGATCAATAATTACTGAGATAGAACAGTCCAAATGTTAGTTATTTACAAAGACGCAGGGGCTTAGAAATAGAGGAGTGATTATTTTGCTCGTCGTCTACTAAATGTTTGGTTCTGGCCTGTGGCGGATTCACCAGCAGGCTGAGTAGGCTAGGGCCCAGGGCGCCTAATTTTTCGGGGGCGGCAAATTTTGCCCAAAAATTATTTGTCTTACAGAAATGATAAAAATAAAACAATATTTTAGTACTAAACTGAATTAGTACTAAACATCTATATTTGAAAAAATAATAAACGAGTCGTGAAATATACCCGTGCGAATATGGATTTTTTAAATATTCCAAAAGCGGTCTAATATTACAATTTAAATAAGTAATTTTGGCTAACTTTTTATTGATCATCACTCAGAGGCGGCAGTGGCCCTGGAATGCGCAAATTCGTGGTCCATCGTGGATCCTCTCCAATGACTGCAATTTGCAGCCACTTCTCGAAGCTGCCGTGGCCAGAAAGAATCTTCGTCAGTTGGAAAGGGGTTCCGTGCTCACGTCCTACCCACTCACAGATGACAGGCTGGAGCGCCTCCACGGCGGTAAAGCCAGCACTTGGAGCTTCTAACCGGAACAACCAACGAGCCATCGTGGCCCATCCGAAATTTCGGCAAACACTTTCATCTCCAAATCCCAAAGGGGTGTTCAGGCCAAAGCGCAGGTCGCCTCCGTAGAAACGCCAATACCCTCTGAGGTCACCAGAGACGCGCCCTACGCTGGGTGATTAGAGCCATCGTCCACCGTCCGTTGGCGATGTCCAACGACAGCGCCAACAACACGTCGCCACGGTTCAACGCCTCTTCGGTTACGACTAACCAATCGTGCCAATCGATGCGGGCAGACAGAACCCTCGACATCGTTAACAGGACCAGCTTCCCGCTCTTTCAGCACTCAGGGAAATGTCCGGAAGCTAAGCTAGCATCAAACAACTCCCAAAGGGGGTCTGTCTGGTCAAGGGGGCGGTGTTCTGCCACAGCCGCTCCTACCTAACCGTATCGTTGCCGGCCAAGGATGAAATTCACGAGGGTGTGTTCCACCCGCTATGGGAAAAGACCCTCAACCACTTCTTGCAGAAGCTGGTCTGGAGAGTCAGTCTGAACTGGGGAGCCCGCGGTGCGGAATTTTTGCCGAAGGGCAGCCGACCCACGATTGAGACCCTTCAGCATTTCCTTTCCGTTTGGAAAACTCTGAATAGGTATTGAATTGTGGGTCCTGAAGTCTCAATATCAGCTGTTCCCGGATCTCTCTTATCCCTCCTCAGGCACAGATTGGCACTCCTTATAGTTTTAGTCGGTTCGATTGTAACACACCGCCCAGCTGCAAACCCCCGTGGGGAGACAGCTCGAACGGGTTTCTACACGTGAATAAAAGAATTTTGAATTGATGAGATTGGCGACAAATATGTTAATCCAGTCTGCAATTGACTATTTCTTAACTTAATGACTACCATAACTGACCTAAAAGTTTTCTAATACAGGATAATATATTAATGGATAATATACTTACCTACCTAGATGCATAATAGTAAAATTGAAAAAAGATTCATTAAAATATTTTTCCAAATTATCCGAAAATGTTTTAAAATAACTGTTAAGACAAGCGCGCATCGCGACTAGCGGCTTAATTAAAAATACTTAATTTAAAAAGTCATTACTATTTCTTATTAAGATACTGAGTCAAATAACATTAACTCCAACAATTAAGTAAAAGAATATTAGTATCTGTCTGATAAATCTTAATTAAAAATATATTATATAACACGACTTACCAGATAATCACTCAAACCACTTAGTTATGTATGTACCTAAGTTAAAACGATAACTCACTCCACCGAACGACCGTGCACTAATAACTCGCAGACGAATTGGAAAGCAATTTTATCTCAAATAACGTAAGTTAAACTATTCATTACATACATACCGACCTACATGTCGTACGTTCGTTTCCGTCATAAGTAGGGTTAGTATGCATCAAAACAGACAGTGAATTTATTGATAACAACGCGAACAGGCCTACAGACTCTACAGAGAACGACTTGTTCGACAAGGTCATTGAATCATGCTTATGATTATATGACAGCTTTTATTAGACAAACCATAGACAAACGGTCTCTATCGTTTGACAGACTTCTCATTGTCAAATAATACAGGCCTTTTGTTTTGATCTATTACGCATTGCATGTGCAGTTTACATTTTATACCTACATAGCTATGGCTACACTGCTTGAGAACGAACGAGGTTTATAGGTTACCGAACCGATATCCGGTTTTCACGAAGCATGTATTTATTACACGTATGTGTAACAAACACTTATCAACTGAAGTTACACATAAATGCCTTAGAAAACAAACCAATATTTACCGTTTAATCGACTTTGACCCTGATATCGTTACATTTGACACGCACGCTACGCGCAGGCGCAGAGTGAGTGTGTTGTTTTCTTTGGGGATAGAAAACTAAAAACTGAACTAACTTAAATTATGTCTGTTAGGACAGATAGTCGATTTTAAAGTTTTAACTTATAGTCTATTTAGAATAGGTATTAAGAATATACTAGGTGCATACTTGACATTTTAAAAGTTACTCTTACTTAAAGTTTATAATCATAAGCATACGTAGTGTAATAAATACTAATAGGTAGTGAGTCAACTCAACTACTTAGAGGAGCAACGCTGGGGCAAGGTATGAAGGAGAGTGGAGTCCTCCTTTTGCCCTCGACGTCTGCGGTAGTACCGGCCGGTTTGCTTCGCTATCGAAGTGCAAATATTTAATTTTTAAAAAAATATGGAAGACAAGCAAACGAGCAGGCGGGTTACCTGATGGAAAGCGACTACCTCCGCCCATGAACGCCTGCATCTCAGGAGACACAAGCGCTTTGCCGGCCTCTTAGGAAGGAGTACGCTCTTTTCTTGAATTTTTGAAGGTGATACCTTGTTCCACAGATTGGTAGTGTGAGGCAAAAAGTGTGTTGAAAAGCGCACAGTGGTGGAGTGTCAATTATCTAAGTGGTGGGGTTAAAAATTATGAGGTGTGGAACGATGGCGGAAAGTTGCGGCAATTGTCCGAACAATTCCTCGGAGCACTCTCCGTGATATGTGCGATAGAGAATGCAGATTGAAGCCACATCTCTACGTAACGCCAATGGAACGAGCCGATCGGAGATGTTTGGGCTATAGACGATTCGAGTCGCTCTGCGTTGGATGCGGCCCAGAGGGAGAAGCTGGTACTGAGGTGCCTCGCATAGCGATGAGAACAGTATTCCATATGCGGACGGACTTACACCTTATAGAGCTGAAGGCGGAGGCGGAAGATCTGTTCAGCACACTGAGATTCTTCGAGGGCAATTTGAACTTACCCTCTAAATGAACCAGAAACTGGACTGCACTCGATATGTCGATGACTAGGATTCCGATACTGGTAGAGGCATTTAGGTAGGTGCTCTCAAACCGAGGCGATACGACAAACAGTTTCTTTTTTGAGGTGAACACGCAAACCCTGACAAAAAGTCCCTTTGGTTCCATCATTGCTTCACTGCATCTACAACAAACTACATAAGTTGTTAAACCTTCAACTCAGTTCAAAATAAGAATTGAACAATGGTTTTACTCTCTTAATTGCCACGACACAGGGAAACTACTGTAGTTTGCCAAGACAGACGTAGAAATACACTCTCGCATACACACACTCACAAACCATCATACGCACGAACGCACATGACCGCACACGCACACACACTCATAGACACACACGCAAATACACTCACAAATAGGACCCATTACATTGCCCAATCTAACCATGTTACATTTTCATGTTAAATAATTTAAGTTTACCTATAATGCATGGCACAAAGCGGAACCATTAATTCTCAAAAAACAGGAAATCCTTGTTTGAGGATCAGACTGCCATACTAGAAAATATCACTTATTTTTGTTAAATGTAGTAATTGTATGATTTTCTACTTATTGTATGGTATTATAGTCTAATTTAGAATCATTATCATCAGCCCATTGCGGTCCACTGCGGAACGAAGGCCTCCACCAAGGAGCGCCACCCATCCCGGTCTTGGTTCAATATTAAGAGTAAACTAGGTACATACCTGTCATTTTAAGAGTTACTTTTACTTAAAATGTATAACCATAAGTCTCACTTTGTGAGTGACCGGACGATAGGTATCAAATATAATGATAACTTCACACATCTCACACGCGGCAGTCTGATCTCAAACTAGGCAGAGCCTCCCGTACTATGGTAAATATCTGTGGCGACTACCACATATAAAAGAAACAAAAACATACTACAGCGCCATCTAACGAAGACATATCGAACTATGGAGTAACTCCTGAATGAGAATTACTAATCCTGTATCGCGATATGAAGCATTATCTCGCCGATTAGCATGTACTCCTATACAACTTCCCAAGATTAATCGTTGGGGCGCGGCCCGCCTGGCATGATCACCTCGCATGGTCGGAGAATCGCCTTTGGAGGACTGTTGGAGGTGTTGGAGGGACATAACATTCATATCCATACTTACAATATAAATCTGAAAGTGAGTTTGTTTGTTATGCTTTAATGCCTAAACCACTAAACCGATTTCAAAAATTCTTTCACCAATGCATTGGAAAGAAATAGGCTACTTACTCGTATTACCGCGATAACCGACATAGACGCGGGCGGTTTAAATACATACATACGTATTATTAGATTACACCTATTACACCTAGACACAAAACAAATAATCGTGGTCATCGCACATTATATGTCCTGGGTGGGAATCGAACCCAGTCGCCAAATATCAGCACATGTCGGTTTCTGCTTCAAAAGTTATAAGCGCTTCTAGGTAGCCTACCTGTGGGCGGTCGCGTCACCTACCGACTGACGCGGGTACTCACTGGGTATGGTTGCTTCGGTCAGTATCTGAATTGGATTGGACGCGAAGAGTCGGCACAATGCCAGCATTGCGCAGCTGGGACTCCGCCGAGCATACGCTGAAAGACTGCCGCGCGTGGGCGTCTGAACGCTAGGTCCTGGTCAACCAAATCAGACGAGACCTGTCCCCACCAGCACTTCGTCGTTCGTTCTCGTCAGTTCGTTCGTTCTCGTCAGAGGCGGTCGTGTCGAAGTGCGCGCGCTGTAATTACGGATTATTATTCCAATAATCTTTAATTGCAATTCTATAATAGTCGGTCGCTCTCGTTTCCTCTTGTGGGATCGCCCATAAGAGCCCGCGGCCATTTTTGTTTTTGCAAGTAAGTGAGTGAGACAGATACTCGGTGTAGTGATTACGTCAGTGTCTTACATATGTAATACATGAACGGAAAGTGCTAAAATCTCGGTCCCTCCTTGTCTCGCTTGGGGGATCGCCCGTAAGAGCCCGCGGCCATTTTGGTTTTAGTACGGTAGTGAGTGAGATAGACACTCGGAGCTAGTGTAATTGACAGGTGACAGTGACACAAGTGACAGTGATACAAGTGACATAAGTGACAGTGACAAGTGAAGTGCAATGGTGGCGCTGCTGCTGCCTATAGGGGGCGCGCGGGTGATGCGTGCGTCGCCGTGCACCCTACTGGAGCACTAAGAGCCCGGTGTGGGTGAGAGGACTCAACTTTGGAATTATTATTTTTCTTTCATTATTTATTCATAGACGATCTTCTGGTTTGTCCGACTACGGTCGAATTGTTAGTACTGCGTGTACAATAGTGTGTTGAAGGTAGTGTATCCCATCGGTGGGTACACTACCGACGAACTTTGACTTTATTTTTTAATATTTTTATTGTATTATTTTCTTGATTCTTATCGTATCAGCAATGAGTAGCAGCGACTCGGAGGGGGGGAAGATCCCCTTCCTTCTTCGGAGGGACCCGTTCAGGCCGAAGGGGTCCCTTAGGAGGACCCCACCAGGAGAGAAGCGCGCTAACCCGGGATTGACTGTCGCTGTACCGCCCGAGGCGCTGGAGAGGGCCCAAGCGGCCTTCGACGCAGTCATTGACGGAACAGCGCCGGGTATTCCAACAAGGGAGGTGCGCGTGACGCCCGGTGGAACCACGATGGTTCCGTCCGAAGTACTAGTGCTCGCCCAAGCGGCCTACGACGCGGTCATCGCCAGGACGTCCCCGGGCATCCCTGCATATCCCCCGACCCCGACATTCTCTCCCGCACCAGTGCGGAGCCCAAGTCCCCCCCCGGCGCCTACTGAGCGCCAGCGCCCGGCGGCCTCGAAGCGGATTCTGTCGCCGGATGTACAGGCGGAGGCGGATCCAAAGCGCCGCAGCGCCCGCGACCTGTCGGTGGTCTGCGGCTCGTCGAAACTTCTTGCGCCCCCCACGCCAGCGACGGAGTACGGGTCGCCGTTCTCCTCTGGGGATGACGGCTTCCTCCTAGGGGATGAAGAGCTGGGCAAGGCATCTGCGCGGCAGTTGCTCGCCAAGGCGGGTGCGGCATGCCGGGGTATAGAGGCGGTTGCGGGTGGGCAGGCGTCCCGCCTGAACAAGGCAGACTTGGCGGCTATCAATGCCCAGCTAAGGATTCTGATGGAAATCGTGGGGCACTGCTGCATCACAGTGGAGGGCCAGAAAACTGCGGCCACCGAAATGCAGCGCCAGCACAGCATGCTAGATGAGGCTCGTGCGCGAGAAGCTGCAAGAGCCTCAAGAGCGGAGGCCGAAGCGGAACGGGCAAGATCTGAAGCGGCAGCGGCTGGTGCCGCGGGTGGCTCCGTCAACGAGGGCTGGCAGACCGTGAATTACGCGAGAGCGCTGAAACGGGCCCCTAAGGCACCACCCCTGAACATTCCCCCCCCACCCGCTGCAACTTTGGCAATATACCCGGCTGAAGGCAGCGAACTCAAATCTGCGGAGGAAACGAAACTGGCACTGAAGAAATCGGTTGTGCCACGCGAGCTGGGGGCCCAAATAGTGGGTCTCCGCCGGGTCGCCAACTCGGGGCTCATCCTGAAGACGGCGACGCAGGAGGCAGCGGAAAGGATAAAGGCGGCAATGCCGGCATCCCTGCAAGTCAGGGATGCCAAGTCTAGATCTCCCCTTGTCGCCTTAAGGAATTTGGAGGGCGACCCCCTATTCGAAGATGTGTTGGTAGCGGCCCACGACCAGAACTTTAAGGACGACCCGACTTGGACTCTGGACAAGCTTAGGAAGGAGGCCCGACTGGCTTTTAAGAAGTCAAGAAGAGGAGGGAACCGGACTACCGTGGTGCTGGCATGCTCCCCTGCACTACGGACAGCTCTAGTGTCCAAAGAGAGACTTTACATTGGCTGGGAGGTAGTCGTGGTCGAGGATTACGCTGAGGTCACCTGCTGTCGAAAGTGCCAACAATATGGCCATCCTGAAAAGCTGTGCCGTGCTGATACTCCAACATGCAGCAAGTGTGGCAAAGAGGGCCACAAAAACGAGGACTGCAAGTCGCCAACATCATGCTGTGCGACATGCACCAAATTTGGTCACCAAGCGGCTAATACGCACACCACGGCATCGAGGGACTGCCCTGCTCGGCTAAACGCAGAGCACAGACTGATCTCGACCACCAACTACGGATTGTAGATCCATAGTAAACAACATTCGGCTAGTGGGTGGATCGGCGTGCTGTACGATCGTGTCTGCTCTAAGGCGAGTGTTGGGCGGCTACGGTGCTTCGCGGAAGGAAGAAGAACGAATCAACCAATAAGGAGCAAATTGGAGCGATAACAGCGGCTATAGAGCGCGTACGACGAAGTCGCTGTTATGTGTTGTCAAGCCCCAGAAGGGGGAGAGTGTCCAAATGACATAGGGACGGATAAAGAGATAAATAATATGTAGGGAGTCAAGAAAGGACACGCGTGAAAGCCAGTAGCGTGTGTCCCTCCCGTGCTTCGGCCCGTTATAACCGAGAGGTTGGTAGGGCCATGGGAAGGTTGGAGGGTGTCCCCACCAGCAATCATTGCTGCCATGCTGGCGGGTGAGGAGGGCTGGGACGCAGTGGTCTCTTTCCGTTGAAGCTGTAATGTTCCAGAAAGAGACCGACCGCTGAATGAGATCGGGAGAGGGCTGATCCCGAGCGTAGAGGATGTCGACGGCGTTATCAGCCGTCGACGTGGGCCGCAGGCTCCCAGAGAGTGCGAACCTCAGGTGACAGATTAATTGCTGCGGTAGATGATAGGCTGGCAGCCCGATCGCAACATGCGATTATTAGCAGGCGGGAAGCCTGCTTTCCCGGGATAGGTCCTGGCTAGGCGCGGCTAGGCATTTAATCGCGAATTAATCGAACTCTGTTGCCAAATATCAGAATTTGTCGGTCACAGGTTCTTAAGTTAAACGCGTTTCTAGGTGATACTTCCCAGAATAGTACCCTAGGAGGTAATTCTCCCTAAGTAGGCACCTAGGGAGAATCTTCTCGAAAACTAGGGCACCTAGCGAAGATCTGTCTTCTCCCAAATTTAGTTTTTAATTATTTAGATTTTATTGACAAATTAGCGACTAAATTTTTGTGGTATCAAAATTAAAATCCATGATGGTGGCCTATCTAGTGTCAGTAACACAGTCATCTACGGTATTTCCAGACCGAAACGACAAAAAAAGAGTCTACTCCCTCCTCAAACACCGGCAATGCACTTGCGACTTCGGAGTTGAAGGCGTTCATGAGTGGCGGTAGACACTTTCTACCAGGTGACCCGTCTGCTCGTATCGTATGCCCCTATATCATTAAAAAACTGATAAGTACTCAGTAGGTTTTCTATAGGGTGAGCCGAGTATCAAATTATTAGATATCGTGAGATAAAGACAAACTTATAGTAACTACTACTACTTAACAAACTGTAGTAAAAGAAAACAAAATAAAAAAATCAGTTTACTTTTATTTGATGAATTTGGAAAAAAAATCAAATAACATCTCAAAGGCGGACACAGTACTAACATTGAGCCTGTACAACCATACAGCAGACGTATATTTATCCATTTAGTATATTCACAACACATTTATTATCGTATTCATGTATTATTGATATGACAAGAATTTTGTTCTTCGGCGACGCCCTCGGCCCCACGGCCTCGGCCGCCGCCAACTACTTCACAAACATCAAAGTTGGCACAAACAAACTAACATCTAGTGAGGGAACAAAAATGTATACTGACGCCCCAGCGCCCGCAGACGAGATATAAAGTAACCGATGGCTGGTGTATACTTAAATAAAGTAAATCTAAACTATACGTTACATAAACATTAATTAACGACTAACATAAAACTCTAACTCCTAGTGATTTAAAACTAATACTGTAATAACACAAAATGACTTTACATTAGACATACATACAGGAGTACACATACATTTTTTTGTATTTTTGTATAATTTTAACAATTCTGTACAAACATTACGATATTGTTACGTTTAAATATATAATTTGACGAGATATTGAAATACATACAATGACATATATCGTGTAAGCCGTTAGTGTAATCGCGGGCGGACTCCACAAGTAGCAACGTGATCTGGGGCCGGTCGACCGAGGGGGGGGATATCTAGACATCGACTACGTCTAACGGTGCGACAGACACACGCATGCCTACGCCCTCTCCTACCTCTCACCTCATCCTCTCGAGCTTTACTGCGATATCTGAATCACAGCCAAATACCAATACAAACGTTACAAAAATATTCATATCAGTACAAAAAGGGACTCGTTAGTTACCAACGTGACTAACTCCGCGCCGCGGCAGGAGCCGAGCTCCTCGCAACCTACGATTATAAATATTGAGACTAGTTGTAGTTACCGAAAATATATTAATATTCAAATAAACTTGTATTCCTTTAACGGTATAAAATAAATAAGTATCATTGAAGCAATGATAGTCTATGTTATATAGTTCAATAATGGTCTTGTGTTTGGTACATCTAATTTCCGTTCTTACAAAAAAAAAATTACAAGACTACCCGAGCACCAAAGTTCTACTTATAAAAGACAGTTCTATGAGATCAAATTAGGATACTGTCGTGTTAACATCACTATATTCATACGTTTTTATGCTTTACTTTTGAAATTTGTCATTGAGATTCAAAAGGTCCGCGTCATCGTAATCCTGAGATCTGGGCAGTATTTAAAGTAAACCTAATCGTACCGTGAGCCTAAATACTTGTGAAACCGTAACGACTTATTTCTAAACTAAACTATACGTAAGCCAAAAATAAATCGACTAATCACTACACACGAGTATCTCAACTCGACACAACTGACTATGATGTGCACGTTTTTGTTTCCCTTCGAATTAATATCGACAGTCATGTGTCGTGATCCGCGATTCGCTAACTAAACAGACAGAGAACTTAAATTTGAGACGTAAAACTACATTAATTGGCTTAAAATTTACAGTTTCACCTTAAATTACAAAGGAATGATACACAGTTCCTAACAACTACGCAAAATCGTATGTATGTATAATGGCGTACATTACAAAAATATTTCGTAAACCCTGTCATCCTCGACAATTTTGCAGCACCAATGAACACTTAAGGAATAAACGTTTCGAAATGGGGTTACCTAATTTAGATAGCGGTCTGTAAAACGGGTTAATGAATCAGTCGACGTCGATCACAGCAGATGTGTTATTACAATAGGGAATGTACTTTTAAAAAGATATTTGTAGGTTCATTAGAGGTTTACCGAATGGGTTGGTCGCTCGCTCGCTCCGAATCTCACTTCCACAACTGTCCCGATCATCTCGCAGGTTAAGTACACGTTAAAACATCAATTTACAAAAGTTGACAATTAAATACAACACATATATCCACCTCCATCTCGCAATAAATAACTAAATCGACGCTGCGCTGCGTTCGGTCCCCTCGCATTAGATACGAGACGCTCCTCGATTCGCGCTTTGGTCTTCCTTTTAGGACAAATTACAATAAATAGTATTTAAATAAATGGGATAAGTCAGCCGCGGGTTATTGTTTAAATAATTGACGTTAGTTGTTGTGAGGAGCGCGCGTGGTCCCGAACATGGCGCAGGCGAGCATCGAACCGGCGTCGGGAGGTGTTGTACCCGACGCCGCAGTGACGCGGACATCGGCCGACATCGATAGATTTAAACTCCAATTTCACTGTTAATGACGAGTTCTAAATATTCTACTATAGTCAAAATCAGCTCGGTGTCGGTCGATGCTTTTATAATATCTTATTATACACTGAAACTGTGTTATTGTATATTATACATATATAGTAATGTATACTGTGCAGACAGTTTTTGAACTGAAAATGAAAATTGTAGCTTTAGTTTCGTTAAAGAATCAGTGTATATTAAGTTGTATATATTTTTATACATAAAACATTTGCCCAGCGAATCCTTTTACATATATTTTATTTGTTCGCTTGCAATAGGCTCGCATTGTTAGCCATCTTATAAATTCTTAATATTTGAATGTCACAATTTATGATTTTAGTAAATCTTTTTTGCAAGCATTCAAATTTTAAGTATTTAATGATAGAAATTTTATTATTACTTTCAAAGAACAAAGAAACGGTTATAGCTTTTAGCAATTTTGACACCAAATTACGTTCATATAAAAACCTGATACTAAACACTGAACAATTTGCCAACTGCCTTACGAAATCATAAGGTATATCTTAAGTGAAAGCGGTGTGCTTAAGCAGAGTATAGACTGCACCATTCCATTAATACAATTTTACAAATGCTTTTACATCAATCGTAAGTTTTTACATAGTCTCTACAAACTTACTGATTGGCTTTACAGAGTGTCAAGCAAACAAGATGTACCGATTATAAACTGATAGTTCAAACTACTGTCTTGACTTTGTGAAAATTGTGAAGGCCGAACTGTGGAATACCCAAGTATATATCGCACCTTTATTCATAAACTGAATTAACTTAGAATTTCAATATTGTGGGAAATCGCATTTAAAGTTTAACATTCATGTACGTGCGAGTTCGTCAAATAGAGAACGACGATCTCTTATCTTTGCCATTTTCATGGTATCGAGTCGGCTGTTGGATTGTTCGTGTTCTACTGATGAAGTTGATTTGGTATTTGTTGAAAACTCGAAAAACGTAAATTTTGAATTAATTCAGTTTATTATTAAAGGTGCGATATATTCTTGTAACTTCAAAACTTTAATGGGAATTAACGAGATCATGTGGCGGTTTACTGTTACTGTGTCAGCGTGCGACAAACAATAAGTATGTCATATTTTAATATAACGTGATCACGTTAATTCCCGTACATTTACATAAATATATAATTTTTTGGTTCCTAATTTCGGTTGCAAAACATGGCTGTGGTTGTTTATTTAACAACGACAAAAATAAAACAGAAATTTCGACTAGTACCTGGGCTCGAAAGCTACAAAATGGCAATTAAACAACCCACAGCCAGTAATGATAATATTAATATTAAGTTCAGACATCTCCCACACGGCAGTCTGAACTCAAACTAGGCAGCGCCTGTACTATAGTAACCAGACTGCTGATAAACATACTTATATATTACTAAATACATAATATTATAGATAAATTACATACAGACAGAACAAAGATCGTACTCATTACACAGTTATTTGTCCCAGGTGGGAATTGAACCTATGACCTCCAGCTTAGCAGTCTGCCGCTAACTACTAGACCCACAGGCCCATCATAGTTATAAATGCCAATGGTTTCAATGTAATGTCAATATGTAAAAGTGTTGGTCCATCAGACAAGATATATACTAAGATTATCCGAAGTAGCAAAACAAAACACAAAGAATGTATGTTTTAGAACAATTTCTTGGCACTGTATTAACACTATGTGATATTACATATGATACGATACCAAACTAAAGAGTTATATGAAACTTAATCAAGATATTAACATTATTGTTATATATAATTATGAATAATAATATCAAATTAATAAATCGGTACATCTATTTGGTAATGTCGCGCGGTCTCAGGTGGGTTTACTTGTGCTCGATGTGGTGGGGGTGTGGTGGCGGCGGGTGCGGTGGTGGGTAGTGCGGCGGGTGGGGGGGATAGTACGGCTGCATGCCGAAATCCACCGCCTCCTCGTAGCCCACGTAGCCCATGCCACTCATCATGCCCATCATAGCTGGAATATTAATTATATTTTTATTTATAATAATCTTCATTTGCTTTATACATGGAATACAAAGGTCATCACATCACATCAACAGCCTTTAACTAGTTCACTGCTGGACATAGGTCTCTCCTTAGAAAGGAGGATTTGGCCTACTGTACCATATTGGCCAGACGGGTTGGTATAGGGTTTGTGTCAAGTTTTCCATCTCTTTGCAGTGCTGTTGTCATGCGTAGTTCGTTCCTTTAGCCACGGGATAAATATGGGTGGTGACACTCTGTATTCTCAATTCATCACCAAGCAGAAAACAATAAAAAATAACAACAATACAAAAGTTTTACATATAATTTTTAGAGCACATACTTGTTTTACTAATATAATACTCTACCTTTTCTGATACTATAAAAACTATTATGGAGTATTGGTATTGGTGGTGGGCTCCGATTTTCGCATTCAGACTCGAGCATGGGCCTTTATGTGTCGAGGTAAGGTAGTTAACCTTACCTCGACAAATAAAGCGGAAGCAGCTTGGTGAGCCAACCAAGCTGCTTCCAGAAGCGCAGAAGGGAGCGATTTTGTATCAGGTATGATACCTATTGTGTGGCTAATATTATGGAGTAATTATGCAATTCAACTTTAAATAGCCTTAAATTATTATAAACGCCAAACGCACATAGCTAAACAGATTTTGTTGTATTTTGTTGATCAAGTAATGTCATGAAGAGAGTCAGCAAGTATCAAAATTGGAGCCTTTAATTACCTGGGTCGGTCTCCACCGGGTAGTACTGTATGGGGTACATTGGTGGAGGATAGATGTAGGGCATTGTGATTAACGGCTGTTCCATCACACATTCCCCCTCGCCCCCTCCACTATTGTAGCCCATGTGGGGGCCACTGTTGCGACCGTCTGTGTGCGAGTTGCGCCTGAAATAATCACAATTGTATCATGTTTATAAAATGTACGTCTGCTTCTGTTTAAGAACATTACAATCTGTGAATATTTCCGTATTTATCATATGTAAATACTTTACAAGGGGTAATCAAAAAGAAATGATTAACTGGCATTTCTGACTAACTGTTTTACGGATATCTAACACACAACGCCATCTAGTTTCAAACTAAGCAGAGCTTGTACTATGAAAGCTAGATTGAGTGATAGAATACTTATATACTTTTTTTTTGTAAATACATACATATTATACATAGAAAACACTCAAACTCCGCAACAAGTATTTGAAGATCATATAAACATTTGAATTAACCCGGGAATCGAACCCGAGAGCATGAACTGCACCACTGAGGCAGTCAGTAGGAAGGTCAGACTGCTACTGCCCGTAGAGGAAGTAGAAATGCTTGTTGAGTGTATCAGTAACATTCTGAGTGGGGTCTCAGAATAAGAAGACCCCAACCAGTAGAGCTCAAGTCTGACGGCCCACCTATTACACTGCAGCCGCTAATGTAGGCATGAAAACACGTTAGCTCAGTAACCAAAAAACATTCCTGAGTATTTTTCTGGAAAATTTTATGCCACTAATGTGGCAAATACTGACCGGTTGTTGGGGCCTTTGCCGCCTACATTAGACGAATGCTTGTTCTGGTTTGAATTTTGGTTGCCGTCCTGGTTGTTGCCACCGCGCTTAAACCTGTTACGAAAACAACTAAATTAAGAGGTTTTAAGGAAAAATTAAAGGTTAACAAAATGAATAACACAAACTATGATTGAAAATAAAAATAAAATGGTTAAAAAGACAAAAAAAAACGAAACATGAATTGGTTCTTCGACAATTAATACCCAGGATTGTTTTTTGTTTCCTGTCTGGTAACCCTCTAAGTGATAACTCTGTAACTGCTCGTCAGCGCAAAAGAACATCAGTGTTTTCCCATTTTTTTCATTTATCACAGCTCCCTTACTCATAAAAATCGCGCCAGCCGAGGAGTAGAACTCAATTTAGAGAGTTATCTCAATACAAAAATGAGTTTATTTCACATCAACTCTCTCTCTCTCTTTCTCTCTCTCTCTCAACAGAGTGCGCGTTCAGCATTGCGATTGGTGAAGATTTAAGTGTTTCAGCCATACATGTGAAATAAACTCCCAGTAGGCCCTCTGAGAGCTAGTAATAAACATTTAGGCCGTTTTCGTTAATGATGTCATAAAGAGAAACGTTTATGTGGAAATATTATAAAATAAAAATGATGAAAAATGAATATTTCGATGAAACATAGTATTAGAAAGGTGTACATGTAAAATTGTGTTAAAAACTACAATGAACTCATGAAGTTTAGTACACGGATAGGGACTTTTTGTTTTTTTTTTTTGTTAAAGAATATTAGTAGCTAGCTAAATGCTTGTTTAATTCGGGTGAATACAAAGTGGGTTTGGAACCCGTAATAAACTTGCTTGATCGCAAGCTCTCATGTGCTGGCTATTACACAACTACCGCTTAGGAATATTGGCGGCAGAAAGTGGGAAGTACACAATTGACAAGACGTTTACACAACTTTTTGTTTTCCAAAAGCAGGCAGAATACAAGGCTCGTGACGGCCATCGGAGTGGGAATTCTGAGACTCGGTATGCCAGGCCTCCACAAGCGCAGGCCTGGGAGTGAAAGGTGAGGTCATCTATCACCCTAGCAAACGCAAGCCGGAGTGGCGGTGCGACGAGCCCTTTAGAGCTCAAACAGCTAGGTAGCTAAGCCGTAGATAGCCGGGGTCGGGCCTGGGCTACCAGGGATTTCCTTTCTAGGTTACACCTGGTTCCCCAGCTACTGGTACCGGAAACACCGACCGGGAGGATTGCCACACCAAAAAAAAAACTCATGAAATTTAAGTATTTATCAAAGTACCTCTATGAAATTAATATACCAACCTTGGGCCCAAAAGAGGGCGTTGGCCATTTCCCTTGCCTTGGTTGTTTATTTGTGGCTTGTCATTCTGTTGGCCCTGCTTGTTTTTATGATTTTGCTCCCCATGGGCCATCACAGGACGCTCGTGGAGGGAGATCTGCTGCATGTCCTGGTAGATAAAATATGTTATTAATTATAGTGCGGGTTCGATGTGCGTTTGAGTGAAGCAAGTGTGTTAAATAAATAATTTCAGTTTGCATCTTAATGAAAACAATGGCGTGATTGATTTTAGCGTTTCAGCTGTCGTTGGATCCGTCTTGTTATTGTGACAGTGACACTGGATATATGATAATAATAATTATTAAAATATCAAATCGCCGGTTTCTTAATTTTCCGCCATGTTTTTGTTTTTCTTTTTAATAAATAGCCTGTTTATTAATAAAATAAATTTCAAGAAAGTATTTTAGTGATATAAAAAACTGATGATATACGAATTTATTAGTATTTTTGTTGTGAAGTATGAGCAGAAACATTCTGGATTGAAAGTATATATAGGTAATATACTAAGAAATAAAAATACCTTCATAGGCAATATGATATGGTATAGTGGTATAGTAGGTCAAAACCACCTTTCTGAGGACCTATGTCCAGCAGTGGACAATTAAAGGCTGTTGATGTGGTGTGATGCATTATATTTTAGTAATAGTATTAAATTTACCTGTGTGAGATCTCGTGGTGAATAGTGCCGCGCAGGTTGGTGAGGAGGGACCGGCGGACCGTACGCTGCCCACATGCACTCCACACCCAAATTGAAGTAGTAGCGGAGTGTGGGGATATCTGATACAATAAAGTTAACATTAGTAATAATATTAATAGACGGATACGCAAGATGCGTATGCGCAAATAGAAGAACAAACAGCATCGTTTTGCTTTTACGTCTTTGCCGAAGTAACGGTAAAGAATAAAATTGTACAATTGTTTTATGCAGTAAAAATATCTGATAGATAAAATAACAACTTATTTACGGTTTTTGTAACTCTAAAAAGCATACACTGAGACGAGCGAAGCCGCGCGCAAGAGCTGAGGATGCTCACCGTGGAGAGGCAGGTCGGCGCCGTTGGCCTGTATGCTCTTGAAGACGTGCGGGTTGACGCCGAGCGGCGGCGGCGGCACGTGCGGCGCGGGCGCGAGCGGCGCCAGCGGGGGCGGGCCCAGCGCGCCGCCCCCCACCGGCCCCACGCCCCCGCCGCCGCCCCCGCACCACACCACGGACTTCACGTACGGCCCGGCCGCTGCGTAGCCGCCCCCGCCGTGCATCGCGTCTGAAACATACGTCACGCTGTTTAACACGATACCTTCAATTTTGAACCGTCGAGTGCAGCGCTCGACGGTTCGTTTCGCTCTATGACAAAGAGCCCTCGCCGTTGCCGAAACTAGGCGGCAATTACCGAATTTCGTAAGTAGGATTCGTATTTAGTAAAGGAGAAAGGCAGATCCTATACCCCTAGTTATTACTAGGGGTATAGGATCTGTGGCAAATCCCACATACAAAGAAACAGAAACATACTACAGCGCCATCTAATGAAGACACACCGAACTACGGAGTAACTACTAAAAGAAGAATTGCTAATCCTGTATCGCGATATACAGAATTCCTTCGCCGATTAGCATATATACAACTTCCCAACATCAACCGTTGGGCCGCGGCGCGCCAGGCATGATCACCTCGCCTGGTCGGAGGATCCTCCCTTTGTGTTGGAGGGACATGACACCCGTTCCTCCACAGATCTACCGTTCTCCCTTGATGGCTGGTTACGAGATTTTTACAGCTTGTAAAGTGAATCATCCTAATTATTTTAATGTAATTATTATATTTTTAGAACTTTACCAAAAGTATTTAAAATCTTCTCAAAAAATTATTATAACTGAAATAACTAAACGTTCAAGTGTTTCTAACAAAATGTAAACTTGCCATGCATAAAATATAAATTACATAAAAACGATATCTTTACATCATAAATATCGACTGTTTATAAATGAGCTCACTAGAGTATTTAGCAGTTAAAAACAAACATTTCTTTATTACTAATGTTGACTGTACAGATTAGAAAAAGTAAAACTTGTTGACAGCAATGGCAGATCATTTCTGACAGCTGTCATTGGTATCGAATTCAGTAGATACTGTCTATATACAAAGTACAAACTAAACTACTTTTGAACGCAAAGTTCTAAAATCCAGCCAAATAAATACCAAGATAACCACTACCTCAAGTACGCGGCGGTACTAAAGTACCGTACATGCCATTGTCCTTTATACTTATAATTAGTTAATGATAAGTATTACAATAATAAAATCTTCTATACAAATAAATAAAATTGAAGTGTCTGTTTGTAGTGTCAAAATTATAGGTTTTTACATGCTCACACGGTTTTTACATGCTCACACGGTTATTTGCACGATACCTATGCCTAAAAACCAGTTTTGTTTTTGTCTGTCTGTTTGTGGGGGGCGGGAGGTAATGCGCTAAACGGCTGAAACGATTTCGATAAAAAATTTCTACCAGGTAGCTGTCTACATAACGAATAACTTAGGCTATTTTTCTTCTCAGAAAAACCCTTTAAAATTTTGCCCGGTCCGGGCATCGAACAAACTAAGGCAGCGCTTTTCAAATTCCACGCGAACGAAGTCGCGGGTACCAGCTAGTTTGACATATTATTAATTACTATGTTACTGAAGTTTCCGTGGCTACAAAAAAAATATTCATGTAATGGATAATACCCAAACTCTAATTTTAAAGAAATATTATATAAAAATTTGGACTTCGGTTCTCCTATAGGTAATTGTTTAAATTGTTATATTTACTCATTAATTGAATAAAAACTAAAAAATATTTAAAAAAATTAAACACCACGAGATATAATAAGGTAAAATAATACTCACTGGTATATGTAGTCAGCGTATTAGTGGAGGCCGGCGTGGAAGAGCGTACTGAAGCTGGAGACGCGATGCCGTGGCCACCCATGTCACCACTACCACCAGCCTGCTGCATTATCACTTCGTTAGAAAAGCTCACTCAAATATTCTAACTGAACTTTAAAAGTTAGTACACTAGATCAGTGTTAATTATTGTGGTCAGCGGAGCCATTTTAATTAAATAATTTTATTAAATGTTAAAATAGAAAAAAAATGGCGCTATGTTTCGTAATCGCTAAGCTTACTTTGCACGGCGAGCGTACACACAGATGCGACTGTGACCGGTGTCCGAGGTAAACTGAAGTAAATAAATACGTCAAACGTGCTTACAGGCCGTGACAGTACCCCCCCCCCCCCCCCAGTACCGCCCGCACCCTACATTTGTCCTTTGTATTATTCGTGTGCTTGCGCCTGCCCCACTCTATTGTCTTGTGTAAAGTTAGAGATAACAATAAAGAAATGAAGTTAGAAAGCGATTGTAACAATAATACCCTGGGTAAACCCAAATGTTGCCGCTTTAGACCGAGCAAATTAAAACCTTCTATCTATAAGGTTAAACCTCAGTTTTATTTTTACAGATAGGTACAAATTTTTAAATTTGAAGAAAGATATTATTCGTCAGTTACTATGAAGTTTTGTCGAATCCATCTATGAAACCGGCCAAACTTAGACGCCGTTGGGAAACAAAACACCAAATACATAGTAAGAAATATAAATCCTTTATTTAAATTTAAGCCATGGAATTGAACAGAATAAAGCAAACCAATGATTAAAATTGCTACTGGAACCCACCCACAACGCTATTGCGATAAGTGCGAAAGTGCTATATCAGCCTATTGCCATGCGCTAAAATTATAGTTCCTTGTATGCAGACCCCCTGGGTACGGGCGTGCACCGCAAAATGGCGGCATATTCAACGGAGCGGCAAAAACAGATATCAAAACGAAAACAAAACATTCTTATAACTTTCATGTCTAATGTTATGTAAAAATGGGTTTATTTAGCAGAGGTCAATGAGATTCGTGATTTGGGCGTTATCATCGATACAGGGCTGACTTTTACATCGCAAATTGACAAAACTGTAACTAAGGCAGCACAAATGCTTGGTTTTTTGAGGAGAAATAGCTCAGATTTTAAAAAACTAGATACCAAATTACTTCTGTACAATGCTCTTGTCCGCAGCATTCTCGAATTTGCGAGTACTGCATGGTCACCATGGTAAGCTGTTCATTCCCAAAGAATTGAAAGCATTCAAAGAGCCTTTACCAGAAACCTTGCCTACTCTTGCAGTGGTTTTTCTCATAGGAGCCCGTATGACACACGGCTATCCAAGTTTAACATGACCACTCTTTCTAATCGCAGACGCATTTTTGACCTTTGTTTTCTTCATAAATTAATTAATAATAATATACAGTACAATTATTTATTAGAAAAAATATCAGTGAAGGTTCCTCACTCTTATCCCAGACATAGAATAACTAAAATATTCCACACACAATTTTCAAGAACTAATTTAGGCCAAAATTCACCAATAAATAGAGTCCTTAACCAATATAATAGTATCCAAACTCGTGATCCTGACATTGACATCTTTCGCCAATCGTATACTGAATTTAAAACTAAAATAACAAATGTTTTGTGTCCGTCTACCTTAACCCCAAACAAATGTGAATAAGATATAAAATAGATTTAGAGTAGTATTAATTCAAACAGTTTATTATTATTATTAAGTATCCTCTTCTTTAGTTAGTTTTTTTTTTCTCGTTTGATTGTAATTAGTTTACTACTTTTTACACTACTACATTACAGTAAATGCTATGTACACCTTAATTGTCATACATATCAGGTATAATGCCACGTATTGTCAAAACTAGTTATAAGTATAATATGTATGATGTGGTAGTACTTATTAATAAATAAATAAATAATATTGACATCTTTTGATCAGTTTCGAAAATAAAAGCGAACGTTGCAAGCTTTGCATTACTCTAAAAACCTTATAATTTGAATGACAAGAGGCGCGGGCGCGTGTGGGGATTCCCAAAATTTCCACACCGGGCGATATGTTCGCGTTCGGGGAATTATGGGGCAAAGCTCCAAAAGATTTGGTAATTATATCTAAACTGTTTTGTACTGTACTGACAGTTAAGAATAGAATTTATGAAATGCCAGGAAATGTTAAAGGGCAATTGATTTGGAAAATTAAAACGCCCACGTGTTAAGAAGCAGCAACAAAATTCTTTTTGTTTGTATTTGTAAAGTTTGGTCCGAACTCTTTGTTTTTTTTTTCTAAGGGGCCCCTTGAAATTATGATTGTGCTTTACCAATAGGTAGGCGAACCAATGGCACGCGTGCTATATGTGGCACGTGACCCAATAGCTGGGGCAAGCAATCAATCACAAAATTCAATATGAAGCACGTATTTATTGTACGACGAATGAACGCGAACATGTTCAAATTTACAAGCTCGCGTAGAAACCATTTAACAGATAATTCCAGTCGGTATATTCTCGTAATAGAAGTTTGTTCAAAATTCAGTTCCGATCTACTCTCGGTGTCAAATCTATACTAATATTATAAAGCTGAAGAGTTTGTTTGTTTGTTTGAACGCGCTAATCTCAGGAACTACTGGTCCGATTTGAAAAATTCTTTCAGTGTTAGATAGCCCATTTATCGAGGAAAGCTATAGGCTATATATCATCACGCTAAGAGCAATAGGAGCGGAGCACCAATGAAGAATGTTTCAAAAACGGAGAAATTTATTACTATTGAGACGCAGACGAAGTTGCGCGGGTCAGCTAGTATTTCATAAAAGATATCCTCTTAGTAAAGTATTAAACATCAAACGTTAACGACGGCAAGTTGAATCGGTATTCTGCTAGTCTTAGTAATACTTCACTAACGCGAAAACCTTTTAGTTTATGACAATTGTGTGATCGAGAGATCGGAACTGAATTTTCTTCAAATTCAGTTCAGACATTTCACAAAATTCGTTATAAAAAGTTATTTGTCATCTAATCTGCCACAACATAAGTCACACTATCATCAGCATCATCAACAGCCTTCAATAGTCCACTTCTGGACATAGGCCTCTCCTTAGAAAAGAGGTTTTGGCTTACTTTACCACGCTGGCCAGACGGGTTTGTGTCAAGTTTTCCTTCTCTTTGCAGTACTTTTGTCCTGCGTAGTTAGTACCCTTAGTCGGCTCATACGACACCCAAGGGATAAATACGGGTGGTGACGCTCTGTATTCTTAATCCGTCAACACACGGAGTATGGTAAGGATATGTAAGTCACACTAATGTTACTTTTATTTATTTACGTGTAATCATGAAGCTTTCTATTGGTAAAAGAATTTTAAAATCGGTTCAGTGGTTTAGGCGTGAAAGGGTAACAAACAAATTCATTTTCACATTTATAATTTAGGTGTGGATGGATTTTATTATGATACTAGCTGAGACCCGCGGTGTTACCCGCGTTTGTTGTTATAACCGCGTGCAACGCCGCGGGGCGAAGCTAGTCTAAAAAAAGTAGCCTAAGTTACTCCTTATGTCATCAGCTGAAAGTGAAAGTCCCGTCGAAATCAGTCCAGCCGTTCCAGAGATTACCCGGAACAAACAGACAGACAGACAGACAAAAATGGTAAAAAATGATATTTTGGCATATGTACCGTGTAAACATACATGTGCATTTAGTAAAAAGCGGTTATTTTAATATTACAAACAGACACTCCAATTTTATTTATTTGTATAGATATTGGAAAATGTGTTTATGTCTGTCTGTCAATAAAGAGTGTAGAGTTAATATAATTTAAGTATTATAATTTACCCAACTATTACATAGTCAAAGTTATTTGACGGCGATGGGTTAAGAAATGCTAAACAAAGACGCACTTAACGAAAAATCCAATCGTGTTTTAATCATAAGTTGAAGTAAAATCTTAAATTCTTAGGAAAGAATAATGGTTATATCAGGTAACAACGTTAAAATCCATTCCACACAAAACAAAACCCGAATTTCAACGGTTTATGGGGTTAAAATATGATTTAGGCACATCTTTACAACTAGGATGCATCTTGCTAAATAACCAAATGGTTCATAATACATATTTTAAACAAAAGTCTTTCGTTTCCATGCAAAAACAATTGCCTCGTCATAAAAAAAAGTACTGAGCTGCGTATCTCTTGTATAAATATAAAAATGGCTACGGAGAAACAAAAGCGCTTTGCAATAGAAAAAAAAAAAAGTTTTGTATTAGTATGCATAAATCTAAGGTACATTGTCTCCTTTCACACTCTTTTTTTTTAATATTCAGGTACCTTTTTTTTTGTTCTGGCAATAAATGAAAATAAATACCATTCCAAAATTTAACAAGCGTGTTTTCATCCGTAAAATCCATCGGTAATGGAATGAGAGACTTTCACGTACAACGATAAACATATTTGATTATACCAAACCAAGGAAGAAAGAACTACTAATGCCGCAAGTTTTCATTTTTCTATCATCAACAGCCTTTAACAGTCCACTGCTGGACATAGGCCTCTCCTCATCAACCGTTGGTCTGCGGTCCGCCAGCCATGATGACCTCGCCTAGTCCGATAATCATCCTTTTGTGTTGGAGAGATGTGTATTTCTCTACAGGTACCCATTTTTTACTGGGACTACATTATATTGACTGGTTATTTCCAAGCGACCAATTTTCTAGTAAGGAAATACCGATTTTTTTTTATGGTATAAGGGGGCAAACCAGCAAACGAATCAATTCATGGTAAGTAACCACCGCCGCTCCGTCACTCCGGTCGAGCTGACCCATGGTGAAATCTATATAACACATAACAATGTGTTTGTAAAAGCCACTAACCTGGTTGTGGTGATTATCGTTAGGTGCGCCTCCGTTAGGCTGCGTGTGAGTAAGCTCGTGGGGCGGAGCACCCGCTCCTGGACGACAGTCCACCATCAGGGGAAGAGCTTCAACTTCAACCTACGATAAAGGAACACATGTAACTTACGATCTCGGCTTTAAGGCAACTAATACTAGAAGTGGTTTTAGTTACTGATTTTAGACCTGAAGAAAGGCTTATTAATTTTGTCTGTTTAGTTTTTATGTGGCCGTTGTTATTTATTGTTTCACTTTATCGTATTAGAATTAATCTGTTAGGATATTGTAAGAAAAATCAATTTAAAAAAACTTACAGACCCGACCGAAGTTAACAATACTAGTCTATTAAAAGGTAAAATTGACCTCTGACTGAATACAATTAAATGTATTAAAAGAGCGCTACATTGAATTTGAGTCGAGAAGCTCAAAAGTCCTAATGATGATATTTTTACTAAGTCCAATTGAAGCATTTTACCTTTTTTTACCACAGTTGCAAATTTAACAATGTAACATCACAATACTCTGCTTGCAGTTTTTTTGTTAATTACTTTGCTTAGGATCTTTTGTCAAAGTCGCACAAAGGTTTTTTTTTCAATACATTATGCTCAAGTCTTGACTTGCAATTACACGTTGGAGTCGTAAAGTGCAACAGATTTAAAGAACAAAGGCGTGCCGGCCGGGCCGAGCCTGTATCGGACAACGCGCTCATCCCTTATTGTCCTTCTGGATAACCAAAAGCGGGATTATCTTCAGGCAAACCACATTATGGAAATAATTTGAATGTCTGCTATCAGTAACTAAAACCGTATAATCTACAAACTAAATACATACCAATGGACGTATATACTATTAGCTAAACACTACACAACAAGGACTAAACACATACTACACATTTCTAAACGTTACCTCTAAAATAGCTACGATATGGTACAAATTGGGCATGTCTGTAAGCACTTCACTGTTATTTTGGACAAAAGAAACTCACCAACAAACTTATTCTCACAAGGAGATATTTATGATAATATATTATAAATAGAGCAAGGTTACATTATTTGTAATACGGACCATACCGTAAATATTAAATAACAATTCCTTGTTGGTGATACTTATAATTTTGTCACCGACAGTTTAGCAGCAAGTTTTCAAGAAAAAATTACTTTAGGTTTGTAAGGCGCCTGAGGTCAACAGTCGTGGTCGGTTTTTAGTAAAAACACCACACAATTCTGGCTCCTGCATCCCCAAGGAGCCAGATTCGAAGGGATTTCTTTTTCTACCCGTTAACAACAAAAAAAGGTTATATTTACAATATTTGAGAATTCAATTTAGTTTAAACAATAATATTATAAAACACATATTGGTATAGGTGCCCTTATCTTGTACTTTGATATTAAAACAAAACAAAACAAAAAACGGCCTCAGGAACAGTAATTACAGTTGAGTTCCGGTAACAAATGACATGCTTAGAAATATACCCAATCCCTGAATCTATAGCAGCTAATAGGTCTAGATCTACAAAACTAACAGGCATCGGTTCAAAGTTAAGAAAATCCAAATGTTGATAGGTGTAATCGTTGTTTTGATATGAGAGATCAGTTTCCTCCGTCCAAGAAGACACTTTCGGTTTGAGCACTTTCTCAGGAGTTTTATCTTCTGTGGCACCTCTTGCTTTCCGTGCCTTGCTCAGACTTTGTTTTCTCGTGATATTGCCTGGCCGTGGAAAATGGAGTGAGTATTGCTAAGTTGCTAAGCTTCAAATGGAGTGGTATTTAGGTAGGAAATTTAAGGAAGAAAACTATTGAATTAAAAAATGGAAAAAATAATGTTTAGAGACATTCCAAATTACTTTCGAATGATTTAAAATGGTTAGAAAATGCACACCACCTATTTGCTGCAACATTTGACTGAGAGTCAGGAACTGAGAATGAGCACGAGAATATCGGTACGGCGGCGCCCAGGGCCGTATTTCATCTAACGGCAGAGGTTCCAACTGCTCATAGTTCACTATACGTTTCTCTCCCAGTTCTTCAATGAAAACGAGACAGGGCCCGCCTTCAGGGCTCATCTCCTGAATGTGGCAATGGTAGGGGACGGTTTGCTCAGGCTGCAGCTTACACAAACACTTCACTCCCACTTGGAGCGTCATCCCATCGGAATATCTAGCGCCGTAACGCATTTCTGGAATACCATTTCGTAAGACGTTTTATTCTAAGTTATAATTAATTCTTAATGGGCCAGAACAGGATGCTGAAACACCGTAACAAATTGATCGTGCATACACGTGGTCTCGTCGATTATGGCGAAAAGATTACGCGGAATTAGCGGCCTCCCTGGTGGTAAATAAAAATGACCCAGTCAAAATGGTTTTGCTATGGATTTCTGCCCTGTACTAGCCCTTCATCATTGATGAAAGTTATCAAAGCTACACAATACCTCGTCTTAGTTCACTCCACACATCAAATTCAATATTCCTGTATATATCTGGATCTAGAGCTTTGGCCACTTTGTATGGAAATGGGGTAATGCCATTATCTAACAAGTCCTTGGCACTGTTCACGTTTAAACAGTTCATGCATACGTTCTCTAACTGTATCAGGCTTCTATTGAAGACAAAAATGCTCAGTGACTCTTTGAGCAAGCTTGCCCGTTCCAAGTCCTCGGTATGGTGCTTACATTTCAAAGCCAATGCATTGTTATTTTTATCTTTATCGTCGTCTGCAGCTTCGATAAATATCTTTGCTCGTTCTTTCTGCTTTTTGCGGCGCTCTACGTTCTCCGACATAAAGTATTCAATATGGTTCGTAGGCACTTTATCGTGGAGCATTTTGTCCACAGCATAAGAGAGGTCTTTGAGCTGATACACACCATCGTATAGAATTTCATATACTAAGGCTATAAATGTAATGTAATTTTAGGTTTAAAATTCTCAAAAAAATGAATAATATATGAAATGGAGGCCATTTTGTGTAGACAATTACTTGAACAATAAAACACCCTCTTAAATAGCTCAAACCTTGACGGTTAGCCCAACTCGACTCGAGAAAGAAAGGTTTTGGGGCCTAGTATACCAACCACGCTGGCTGGTTGGTATAGGATTTGTTTCAAAATCTCCTCTTAGCAGAGCTGTTGTCCTGCGTAGTTTGCTCCCTTAGTCGGCTCTTATGACACCTACGGGATGAATACTGGTGGTGACACTCCATATTCAACTCGACAACATAAACTCGACCATAAAATTTATATTCCCCTAAGTTTTTGAAAGATATTTCTTAGAAAGACCTTGGCCTGAACTGGCTTGGCTGACTTATGGAACAAAATGGCACCCACTATTACGAGAATGTCGGAATTATAGATATCATGACGAAACATTCATGGCAACGTCAAACGTGAGTAGAACATTTTCGTCGCGTAGTGTATTATTTGAAACAAACAAAAGTTCTGATGGCTTAGTTATATCGTCCCCATAGAGGGAAAAGTTCTTAAGTTGAAAAACCTGTTTTAAGATGATGAGGGCTAATCGCCATAATTTTAGTACATATGCCTTTGTTTTCAGTTTTATTATTAAGTAGAACCACTCGAGTAATTATTGAGAAAACTTAAAAAATGCACATTAATTATTTGTTCTTTATATAATGTCTGTTAGTTGATTAAACCTTCTTTTTAAGGAGAGGCCTATGTCCAGCAGTGGACTATTAAAGGCTGTTGATGTGTGATGTGTGATGTGTGTTAGTTGATTTTCGCCTCTAGGGATTTTTTTCAGTTCAACATTATTTTTAAGAAGTTTGGTAATTTAGGACGAAAAGTGCATATTAAATAATATTTATCTTAATTAGTAATCTATATCGAGTTAGTTAGTTATTACTGCCGCATGTTTCAGCAAACTTTAAATTTTTTTAGGTCACTAAATCTCTTCTACTTCAAATTTGCTAACAAACAATACTTATTTATTTATTATTTTTTATTTTAGTGATTTGAGTCTACTTAAAGTCCTACATAAGCATTAATAAAGTAATTAATTAGTTTGTTATTTTTATTTTCCTGTGGGGCTTAAGAATAGATTTTAATTACTTTTCACATTTCGTAAAACGAACGAAACGAACACACCTACAAAACTGATAGACAATTTTTTAAGGGCCCTTGTGTACATTGGCAGACGATTGGTGCGCAACCGGGGTGTAGTCGGTTCTTTGGACACACTTCAAAAGAATCATGGCGTAGCGTGTCCCGTGTAGTTTACACACTAGCCCATTGTTTACTTCGTCACCGACCTTTGACGCTATGGCACACTTTTTACTACACATCGCAGTAGATTAAAATATAACAATCTATACACAAATAAAAAAAAATGAAGTGTTTGTTTGTAATCTGTCTAAAAAAAAATGTAAAAAATGTCTGTCTTTCTGTCTGTTCCGGGTACGGCTTACCGATTTTGATAATATTTTACTACCAGGTATTTGTCTATATAAGGAGTCACTTAGGCTAATTTTCCTCTCAGAAAAACCTTTGCCCGGTCCGGGAATCGAACCCACTAGGGTAGCGCTTTTCAAATGCCACGCGAACGAAGTCGCGGGTACCAGCTAGTATAATATAAAAATGCTAGGTAGGTATTCGTTTCATATATTTTTAGTTACATCCAGAAAGTCATATAGGTAACATAATAACAATATGTCATAGGTTTAAATATTACTATATTATATAATTGTGTACCATTGTGTCAAATGGTGTGCGTTGTGCAAAAGACCGCTTTGTGACCCGTTCTCGCCATCCAACGTAAAATTTGGCGAGTTTAGAATTAACTAACACTGAAATAAAAAAAGCAAATAGCCGAGACCGTAATTACACCTCCGAGTCCATCGCAAATGTTTTCCAGGCAACAATGAGTTATGCATTATTTTGTGAACACCTACGCGGTGATGACCTACAATAGCGCATTGCGGAGCGTGGCCCAACACTGGCCAATGTGTACTGGAGCCTTTAGAGAAAAAAATAGTTTTATTGGCATTGATAACTCATTTTGGCCATTTTTCGACTTAGTAACTTTTCGATCTATGGGGACGATTTCTTTATTACTGTCACACACAGAGATATAAGCATAGAGGGAACAAGAGCTCCAATCTTGAAAAACAGGCAACGAGAGAGATGGATAATAGATAGATCCCTCCATCTCTTTCTAGTTGAGCTCTGTGGTTGGCTAGGGTTATTTTTAGTATCCCGCCTGTTCTAAGATCAAAACCATGCCCACTTCACAATAGCCAATCGCAGCTTAGCTAAACAGAGACAAAAGGAATTATCGGGCATCCATCTCTCTCATTGCCTGTATCTCTTCCACTTACAGGCAGCAGTACCCTGTGTTCTCTATGTTTATATCTCTGTTTCCAACCCGTTGGTTCTTTTTGCCTAACAAGAATAGAGATGGCTTGTGTTCGTCAATGATTAGTTCTCATCAAATATCTCATCTCTCTATGGTCTCATGTGTGATGAGATATTTGTATTTAACGGTCCGCATAAGGTGACATCCACTGCCTAAATGTGGAGGGCTCAATGAAGATATTTACTAATATATACTTTGTTACTTATTTTTGTAAATGTTGTTTGTTACTAATATACACTAATATTTACTTTGTTATTTATTAAGGAAATATGGAAAACATTAAACCAGACCAGAGTAATGAGTATTGAATGGACGCCATTTTGTTCTTTGAGAAGACAACTAGCACTTAGAATGACCTAACTTAATAGCCTTTTAAAAAAACTGTAGAAAGCTAAAAAAAATTTTGATTACTCTAGAAGCAGAGTAACTTTTGGAAGCCTACATTAAAGACTTGTTGCAATTGTCCTGTGTTTCCACATCATATGTTTCCTCTTAATTTCTCTTAAGCCATTGCATACGACAAGATTTCAAATATGGCATTTCAATTTATTTTGACGTACACCATGATTAAAATTTTAACAAATATTAAAGAAATAAACTTACATTGGCAAAAAGAAGATGTGTTAATAAAATCTTTAGTATATACCACATCAAAGTGTTTAGTATCGGGAGAATAGAACAGGTATAAAGGGTCTCCGTAACCATTGCATATTTTTGTTTGCGGACCCTTGTTAGCTTCAAAAATAACAAAGTCTCGTCTGTAATTGTTTAATGAGTTATCATTATTACCAAAAGCAAGGCCAATGACTTTAATCATCAGTTAGTTCATTAAGTAATATACGTGATTACTTATTAGTGTTAAGTAGAGAAAATCATTAGTAATATGTACAAAACCATTAAATTGAATAGGAAATTGCTTGTGTTGCAATTGTTAAAATGATATTTACTTAGAATATTGCAGATCTGGTTAAGTAAGCTTGCATTAGGCACAGTGGAAAATGTTAAATAAATTATGCAAACAGTGGGTAGTTCAAACTTCATATTAATTGTCTTACCTATAGAGATGGCTCATGGCCGTTATTTCAATTAGACCGCCCCATTCAGATGGGTTTGACATCTCTTTGAGATAATTTTCAAACGGACAAGTCAATGACTACAAAACAAAAGTTGTTATGTTAACATTCTGTTCTAGTGCAAATAAAATAATTATAAATATGTTATAACTCCTACCCCTTCGAAGAGATGCTTCTTGGTAGCCATGAATTTAACGCAGTCCAGACGGACTTTATGGAAATATCGCTGAGTATTATAGATGTTCTCAGAAACGGCGCGGAACAGGCAGCTAGAATCCCTAGCTGTATGTTTACGAAAAAATCCCATTTCGTCCAGCCACCTGTCCGGCTCCGAAGAACGCTTGTGTATCTTCCATGGCCCTCGACAACGAATTGGGGAAGGCGACATTATATACTGCTAACAATCTGCAGGTAAACAAAAACAAATGACGCTGCCTCTCCGATCTTTACATCCGCCACAATTTTGTAACAAACCGGCACAATTTTTACACATATTCACGCAATAAGAAGTAACAATACGTTTAGGGTTTCCAAAACACCATATCGTAGCTATATCGTCTGGCGAATGCAAATGGTTGTTTTGCTGTCTACGCTAAACAACACGTGCAAACATTAAATCATACGAACGACGCTAAAATATTATTAAAACACTTACCAAAATAATATATCCAAACTGTCAGCATCAGTGGTGAACTGTATTTGTATATACGAAGTTTTATTTTACGAAAATTAATGAAAACTGCACGTGCCAAAAGCAAACCGTCAAGAGCCGGCGGGAAGCAAATCAAAATTTACAAGACGGCGCTTTGCAAAAATGTTACTACACTGAGAGCATGTTCCCGGTAGACTCTTTATCTCTATCTGGTACGCACACTATTTATATGTTGCTATTTCACTTGGAGAGCAACAGTGCTCCATTTGGTAATTAGGTGTGCATTATAATGAAACGCATTAGTGCACCATAGACAACGTCATAGACGATATGAACCCTAGAATAGTGAAAAAACAATTAAAAAGGAGATGCGAGCTTTATTGATTTTCAATGCATTGGCTAGCAACTAATTATCCTTGTCTCGATTCAAAACACAAATATGTATATATGTAGATATACGAGTTACAACAACTTCTAGTTAGTTATAGTAACAATTTCGAGGATATCTTAACACTTCTTTTGTTTGTGAGTTTTATTTAGGTACACTTACGAATAGATTATACACTGATAGCATAACAAAACAAAAAGAACCATTATCTTATTTCACTGGAGTTACCAGTACGTAAATTAGAAACATCTCCATCGTCTAAAATTATATTATAAGGATGTATTAATTTAAAAAAATACATATTTATAAAGATACTTGAGCACAGAAATACTTGCAACGTATGTCTATAAAGTAAACATTAATTTGGCCATTTACATCACCTTCATAAAGTTATTTTAAAAGACTTAATAATAATAATAACATTTATTCATTGAAAAAGTTTGTACATCTTACAGTTATGTTAAACGTTTGTTACTCATTAATTTTGGACAAATTTGTGTTTATACCCTGAAATCCAAGCTCCAAAGCAAGATCTCCAAAATACAGGTCCCCAACTAGGGGACCTGTATTTTGGAGATCAGTGTACTGCTATGAAAAAAAATTAACAAATAATAGGTCTTTACCGATGAAATTGCCGTTTTGTATGCAATAAGTGAAAGTACTTACTTTTTCAAACTTTTTTATTTCTGTTATTCGAAGTAATCACCCATGCAATCGACGCATCTTTGCCAACGCATTGGCAGTTTATTGATGCCCTTCTTGTAAAAATCAGCTGGACGGGAGGCAACAAACTCTTCAAAGGCATTTTGTACTGCCTCTCGGGAATTGAATTTTTTACCCATTAAAAAGTTGTCTAAATTTTGGAAAAAGTAATAGTCGGTAGGTGCAAGGTAATAGATCGATGCTCACTTTTACAATTTTATGAACTTATTGAACAGAAATTATCACAATGTCTGACTATGTCTGGTACAGTATGTTTATGGGTAAGTTAAGTATGCATGTGGGGGTGTGTATGTATGTATGTGAAGGAGCGTGTGTATGCACTAGAGCATTCTGTATGTAGTATTACAATATGAAAGTTTGGTTAAGTAATATTAAGAAGCTTTTCTGTGTCACCATAATTTAAATTTTGTAGCCACTTAAATAATTTAATAATATATATAATTAAATAGTGATATTTAAATAATAAATATAACAACATTGATTATTGTAAAAAAATACTGTTCATAATTATATTTATTTTTGACCCATTGAATAACTTACATCGGATTAACTTTATCGATCGAATTTTCCATGAATAAAGGGTATGATTTTGTCAGGAATTCGATCAAAACTCATACCCTGCTGTCAAATACATTGAAATACTATTAAAATTCGGTCAGTGTTCCTCAGGTTGATTTTCATTTTATTTTATTTTTTAAATTATGTATGGACAATTATAAGATCTAATAATAAAAACGTCAATGAATAATGAGAATAAAAATTATTTTTTATAATAACTATTATTGTTAATTTTTATCAGGTGTGAATTTGTTTTTCAAATTATCAAGAATTTATATTTTTTTTTCTAAATGTTAACATGCATTAGGAATATATCCAGTGTCGTGGGGGACTTTATAAATATACATGAAACGGACACAACGAATACGAACAACATTTTGTGGATCACACAAAGTGTCGTCCCATGTGGGGTTTGAACCCACAACACTTGGCGTAGTAGGAAGCGGCGTGGCGACCGCTTAAACCACTACGCCATCCGCAACCAAATTTTATTTAATATCAAATAATATATCATTTAAAAGAACATACAAAATAAACGATTTATTATTATCATTTTTATCAATACAATGTTATTGTGAATGTACCATTTAGAGCCTGTTAGCGACATATGTACCAGCTTTATTGGGCCTCTATCTAACATCCCTGCCGATAGATTGCTGGCAGGATGACTGGCCATCGTGCCCAGTGTGACTGTTTACGGTAAATTTCCAATGAAAATTTGACCATGCAGTAGATATGCAGTAGTATCCAAATATCTAGTAGATTTCAGTGGATTTGAAGCATTAATGGTCCCGGCTGAAAGGACTTGTGTTGTGGCAGCAACGGCAGCGCTTATATTAGTACTGTTTGTAGTAGGGGCTTCCCCCGACTCGGGCACGCGGTTATTGCGGCGGTAAGACCCGTTATCGAGGATTCGACCTCTCATACCGGCTGACGCAGGTGATGGCTGACCAGGAAAGTTTGTTTCGGAGATCACCTATGTCTGATCCGCAATTAGCCAACGCCTGAGTGCCACCACTGCGATGGCCGGACCGTGGACACGTCCACACCTTGGCAGAATGCCCGGCGTGGGTGGGGCAGAGGCGTGACCTCGTGGTGGCCATTGGAGTGCGAGTCCTCTCGCTCGGTAGTATGATTGCCGCCATTGTACGGAGCAAGAGTGCGTGGAACTCCACCATCTCCTTCTGCCAGCAAGTTGTGCTTGAGAAGGACAAGGCGGAGAGGGACCGGGAGAGGTTTAGAACTCTCCCGGAACGGGCTAGGTACAGGGTGACAGGTGAGGCCATCTGTCACCCAGCAGAAGTAGGCCGGGGTGGCGGCGAGACGCGCTTTTTGGGAACAATAAGGGAACATGTGGGTTCCCACACAGGGGGGTCATCTACGCCGTAGATGCTCCGAGGTACGTCGGGGTACAAGGGATTTCCTTTCTAGGGTAGACCTGGTTCCCCGGCTACTGGTACCCGAGCCGGCGTGCGGTTTTTAGTCGGTTCGAGTCCGACATAACCACCGGTAGGTGGTATAAGAGGGGATTTCGGCACAGAAAAAAAAAAGATAGGCCCTTCCCCCGACTGTATACTTTTCAGCCCGACTGACACGGAATTTTGCACTGTAATGGTTAGAGAATAGAGTATATTTTAATAGTTATAATTACCTATTTTAATATTAATAATATTAATAATCATTTTAATTGCGATTCAGAGTATCGTTTAAAGGGTTATGTCCCTTTATATTGTCTTATGTCAATATGTCATTCTCTTACATAATTCGTTTACAACGTAGCAACCGGATGCAACACGTACTTATAATTACAATGAAACGTAAATTTGAACCAAACCAATTAGTTTCTTTGTGACTCTGTAAAGATATAAACAGTAATACTCGTAATCATGCTTTCTGTAAAACTTTAAGCAAATTAGCGTCTATTGAAGAACAAAGTGGTAGGAACAAACATGAAAACAATATGAAACATTACAGTGGGCGATCAAGGGTATGTATATTTGTTTATATTATCGGAAAGTTAATAATTACTTACTCGTATTAATCTAACATTTTAATTTATATTAATCCGATATTTAAATTTTATTTTATTTTATTCAAACATTTTAATTCAGTTAAACGATAATAACAATCAAAAAGTTCCAAGTAATAAAACTGGTTTATTCAAGTTTGCATGCATTTTTCTCGAAAACATTCGATGTGTTTATATTATGCTAGGCCACCATGGTTTTGTTTTGTAAACACAAAGTTTTGAAACCATCTCGACGATCTCCGTGGCCAAGTGGTTTGTACGCCCCGGTTTCAAGGCGTCGCCATTTCTAGAGGTTCTGTGATGTTTGTGTAATGAATACAGGCATTTGTTCTTCAGTCTTAAATGTTTATATACTTATTGAGTATATTATGAATATTTCATCTAGTATCCATAACATAAGCGGCATAAGCTGCTTAATTGGGCCAGTTGATAGGTGCCATTGTCAGAAGATATTTATTTGTTTAAAATATAGTAATTTTTATTGTATGCATTCTAGATATCTAGATGTTTCATAGAATTTAATTTTGTTGTTTGCAGATCGATTCTCATTTTAAGAAGGACCCTTTATCAGATGAAACATCTAGAGTCGAGCTCATGATTTGCGCTGCACTAGTTGAACACAACATACCCTTCAGAGTCATGGACCACTTGTACGACGTCTTCAAACGAGCATTTCACGACTCAGAGATAGCAAAGGCATTTACTGACTTCAAGTCGGAGCATGTATTATGATAAGTAAAAGCCTAGACAGCAGAGAAGGTGCTACCTTTTTGGGGAAGCGAGTAGGGCAACCGCCCGTGGCCTCATTCATGCAGGGACTTCGCGTTTTTTTTTTATGTTAGAATGGGCAGACGAGCAGACGGGTCACCCGATGGAAAGTGACCATCGCCGCCCATGAACGTCTGCAACTCAGGAGTCACAAGTCACAAGGTTTAACGGTATCGGTCCGGAAATACCGCAGACGATAACCCGTTTCACGGATTTGTTGGGCGGGGCAAAAAGGGTCTACTACCCAGATAATGAGGATGATTATTTTGCCGTACTCGCGAAATAACCCAAGTAGAAAAATATGTTAGGCTTACACTTGAAGGCTGGACGTTATTCGAGTTTCACTCCCTATCTCTCCGTACCATGGCCGCAATCATGGTACCGAGCTAAAGAATCGTCACTCCGATGGCCGTCCCGAGGCCACGCATCAGCTCCACCAACGCCACACCTCGGCTCCACCTACGCCACATTCAGGCAGCATATGGAGCGCCGTCTCCATGTTTTATAACGCCGCGTCCCTAGGCACCTGCCTACTTTACTACTACTACTTACAGCCACTGAGTATGTGTTGCTTTACATTTTTTATTTGAAGCATCATCATTTAAAACTAATTCCATATAGACAAGGGCCTCGGAATGATCTACCAGCCCAGGGCCTCGCATTTATCTTTTGTTTGTTTAAGTAGAAACATCTATATACAGATGTTTAACGGCTTAAGAAATAAAATGCAACAATTCCTCTTTTGAATATTGTTGCGCCACAGGACTAAATGGTTCTTGTATTGTGTAGTTAGTTCGTGAACAATCGAGATGGACTCGTCGTCGGTCGTATGGACTCTGGAGGACAGCGCCATCTAGCATCAAGTAAGGCACAACGGCGTAATTCCGAAACTTGCTGCGCTGTCTAGTGTCAAATATCGAAAGATTATAGCTGACAGAAGTCGGTAGATTCCTTATAATATCACGTATATTATAAGGAATCTACCGAGTTCTAGAACGAGTCTGGAACGCTCCATCGAATTCTAGAGATTATTCTAGTTATTTCGAAAGTCCTATAAAAGCATAGCGTGTTGGACATAAAAGCAAGTATTGTTAAACGATACAGCGGATTAACATCGAAGCGATTTTCTAGTGCGACTGAAGAGTTCCATAGTTAATTCATGTTTGTAATAATGAGTGTTTATAAATACAGTGCTAATTTTGGCAATTAACCGCCTACTGTTATTTATCGAATTACTGGCTCATAGCAATGATTTGTTTTGTGCTTATTTCCAAGAGTATCAGAGTAAATTATACAAAAAGGGAAATTTCTCTATACCTAACTACTAGGGGAAAATAAGATGTTGATTTTGATTCATACAAAAAGCATTACCTTAATTTTGGTTTACATAATCTAAAGCTACCTAGGTATGTGTTCTTCCCTTTGAATTGAAGGAGAGGTCCCACCATCTTGATATCAAGAAAGCGGGACGACACATTTTGTTGAACTTCGACGTGTTTGACGACGTTACTAAATGACAATGCGCATGCAATGAGACGATGGCCCCGCTGTCTTGATGGTCGGACGCTATCTATACTAATATTATAAAGCTGAAGAGTTTGTTTGTTTGAACGCGCTAATCTCAGGAACGACTGGTCCGATTTGAAAAAATATTTCAATGTTAGATAGCCCATTTATCGAGGAAGGCTGTAGGCTATATATCATCACGCTAAGACCAATAGGAGCGGAGCACCAATGAAGAATGTTTCAAAAACGGAGAAAATTTATTACTATTGAGAGACGCAGACGAAGTTGCGCGGCTCAGCTAGTCTTATATAATGTACTCCCGCATTAGGAATACATCCTGTGTCACGGTGGACTTTACAAGCATACATGAAACGGACATAAAGAACACCCAGACTCAGAACAACAATTTGTGGATCACACAAAGTGTCGTCCCATGTGGGGTTTAAACCCACAACACTCTTTTAATATTTTGATTGTGTTGCAATGTCATTAAAAAAAAAATCTTTTTTTGCTTCTTTTCACTAGACTGAAAACTAAGTTGTAAATCAACATTTATCAAGAAGTGAAGTGTCCGTGTTGGGTCCGAAACTAGAGCCAAGTTCATCATTAATTACTCATTTCTCATCATTAATTTATCTTTAATTACTAAATTACAATAATATTTATTGCTCTTTGGTCTGTCTTCTAAGCCCCAGACGTCGTGGGTCCGATTCCCACACCAGACGAATCATTTAGTGAGCATAATCATTTTCATTTTCAAAGAAAGTTGCGGCCAGTATTAGTCCGAACAATTTCTCGGAGCACACACACGTGATACATACGACGGAGAACACAGACTGAAGCTACATCTCTACCATTAAACGCCAACGTCGGAGATCTTTTGGCTATCGCCAATTTGAGTCGCTCATCGTTGGATGCGAACCAGAGGGACGGTCGAAGCTGGTACTGGGGGTGCCCCTGCATAGAGGTGAGAACAGAATTCCATATGCGGTCGGACTAGCGCCTGATAGAGTTGGAGGCAGTGGCCAGAGTGAAATATTGTGTTTCTAGTAACGTGGTTATTGAAAAAAGTAATAAAACAAAATAAATATTTTTTAAATTCTATATTTATAAAAAGCACCGTCTGTAAAACATACAAAATCCCGGTAAAATTGTTTATTGGCATCGTCAGCATTATTAGAAAAATGGAAAAATGTTTTTTTTTATTCTGTGGATTTGTATATGACAATATAAAATTTATAGGTAATTGTTCACAGACATGATCACTTAAGCTATTTTATGTCTTCTACGATTCGATCGAATAACTACACCATAACGGTTGAGCAAGTGGTATTATTACAGTACTACATTCGATGATTCTTAACATATTTCTAAGTTAATACAATGCTAAATACTATATCAACGCAGAAATAAAGTTAAAATAATGAAAATTAATTTTGATCAAAACGAGATTTGGTAACTACACTCCCAGTTTATTGACCAGAGCTCACACGCGATGCTTGATTCTCATGACCATATCTCAACTAAAAGAGAACACAAAAGCACAGGAAAATTAAAAAATTCAAAATTATTGGAGTGCAGTGTGTTCTCGACTTAAATAAAAATCAGTACTCGACATTCATACTTAAATATTCCTTCATTATAAAATAAATTATAAAATGTTCGTAAAATACACTTATTAAATATACATATACCGTTAAAAAGTGACATAGAAAATTTGGTTCCTATAACTAATGATAGCGACCGGTTAACGCCGTCCATTTTGAATTTATTTTGACAGTCAATTTTTTTTTCGAGGTGGTCGTTCAAAAACGGACAGTGCAAACGGGCCCAACTTATATCGAGTTAAAATACGAGCGATACTAGCGAGATATAGTTGCTGGTGGTTATTAGGAGACTTGTTCAGGCCGTCTTTTCCTGTTCGATGATGTCCTTGGTGGGCAGTGGGTTCTTTTCGCAAGTCTCAGTGTGCTTCAACTTGGTGGGGTCGAAGTTCTCGATGCCGTTCAAAAACTTGTTTTTCTCCTTCTCGGCTTCAATAGCTGTGGAGTTTATAAGTGCCTATGTTAGTATCAATAGCTTAGGTTTATTACTTCTGATGACAGAACATCACTACGAGGATTTTAGACATGGAAGAAATGTTACACCTCTTAGGTTAATTTTGATTACGCAAACATATGTAGTAAAATTTTAAGTAGGTAGAAAAATTGCGCTGGAACATGTTTGCCCTGAGTAGTGAACTACACAAATCTCATACGTCTGATCCCAAACTAGGCAGAGCCTATTGCCATGACAACCAGACTGTTGATACATATACCTATATTTCTAAATGCGCACATGTTATAAATAAATTACACCCAGACACAGAACAATTGATCGTGCTCATCACATAATTATTTGTCCTGGGTGAGAATCTCAGGGTTAGCAGTCAGGGTTACTGAACGTTAAATCAACAGGCTCGTCAAATATATTTATTAAAGTTGCTTTAATTACTTTTTAGACGTAGTTCCTTTAAAACCTAATTATAAAAATAAAATTCTGAACTTATTTAACCCTACATCTATAAATCGATTGAAATTCGTCCTTTGGATCTCATAAACAAAGTTTTTTAAACTGACTTTTATCTTCACTTGACTTGACAGCCTTTGCAGGAAAACCAAAGTAACATCGCTGAATCCTTTGCAATAAATTGCTAAAAAGGGTAATAAGCGATGTTATTCATTCTGGCAACGAAATGGTTACGAAATGTTTCCTAATGACCCAGGAATATTGAGAACCAATGGCTATACGACATGATCGAAGATGTAAGAATATTATTGTGAACGTCTTTGATCATGTCGTGGACTTACAGTAGAGACGATAACATGTCTCAAAATTTCTGAGTGATGTAAGTGAAGTAATTTCTCATGATGTTCAAAGTATCTATCAAAGAGGATGTTTCTCAGATAAACCTTTTTTTTTAAAGGGGTGTATTACACCAGTTACTTTGGGATTTGAACCCAGTTGGCACCCAGGCAGGTGAACAAAGAGATCATAAGCATCGGTATAATAAAGAATCTTATTAAAAGCAGCACGTGCAAAATATATATATATCGCTGCATTAAAAAGAAATAAAAAAAGCGGGCAAACAGAAACCTTCGATAGGCGGTAAGGGATTCTTTTCTTCTGTCGTCGTGTGCTTCATCTGAGTCTTGTCGAAGTGTTCAACGCCTTCCAATAGGTTCTGGTGCTGCTTCTCTGCCGCTACAACTGATGCAAAGCAAATGCGTGCAAGGCAAAAGATAATAAATAAATAAAATAAGCGTTGGTTAAAGTCTCACAAGTCCCAAATGCACATATTTTTGTATATGACAACTTTAACGCGCTAGTGGACTTCTTCGCCGCAGTGCTTGGAGCAGAAGCGTGTCACAGATGAAGCAAAAAGTAATTATAAGTACATAAATAATATATTTATTGTGTCACTTATAATTATAAAATAAGGAATGGCAATTATCATATTATTGAATATTTAAGTACACGCGTACGTAACTTGTTTACGCGGTACTTTATGATATAATTAAAAGTGTTGTTGTAATACAATAAATATATATTTTTAAATGTTCGAAATACAATCTGTTCTCTGTGTTTATTCCACGTTTAAATTAAAGGCTTTAAATTTTTTTTTCTTATACATCGCACATTTACATGCATAATAAAGTGCAAATTAAAAATATTAATTTTATCATACCATCTTTGTCTGGTAAAGGATTCTTTTCCTGAGTTTCTGTGTGCTTCAAACTTGCCGCATCGAATTTTTCAATGCCATCAAACAGGGATTTTTGAGTTTTCTCCGTGGCAACATCTGCAAATCATAGACAAAATATTTAAAAAAAGGAATTACCAACATTGTTTGGCGCACTCTCACAACGTGTAAAAACATGCGTCGTTATTATTTTAGTAGAAAGTAGTTAGATGAAACGGCAATTCTAATAAAGTACTTATATTATTAGCATTCCTATTGTCCCCCTGGTTTAGTTCCCCAGTTAAATATAGAAGGAATGCGATGAGCAAAGCAGCCACGTCTCACATTTATTATTTATTAGTGGCGCGTCATTCCACCCACTTATATACCTAATGCATTTGGTAGCACGATTTTTTCCACCGTCTCCGTTTTTCTCAGGGAAGATGTTTGAAATTGTTCAACACCCTGAAGTAGCGCGTTGTGTTGCTTTTCTTTCGCTACGTCTGTTGTAAAATCGAAATTTCTTTTGTTATTCTGCTATCGGTGTGAGTCATGAGAAGTTTGTTTTCAAACGGCGACTAATTGATGAGTCAGTTACAATTTTCGAGTAAGTGCGCAGTTCACCGATGCTTTTAAGGTATTTTGATAAGCACACAGTCCAGTTTCCAGATAGTAAATAATAAATATCTTGCTAGAAATAATAATGATAAACGACAAACAGGTGTCGGGCATAAAGGTCGGCCATAATTTATGTTGGTATGAAAATAAATTGCAATGGAAGTGCACTCGCCAAATACACATTTCGAAGGGTTTGGCGGGTGGGTGTGTGTTGCTAGGAATTAAAATATGCAACGAGGGGGCTCGGCTTTATTGATTTTATACTCTTTCGGTACTGTTACGATTTCAATGTTGTCTGTTTTTAAGAAATGTTAACGCGCCTCTTTTCAAGACTATAAACTGAAGAGATAGACAAATCAATATAACGTATATAAAGGTTTTCATAGAGATTTTGTAAAGTACTGATTGTATATAATGTTTTATGTACTATTATCAGTTTTTAATACCACTGTTTTGACTACAGATTTCATTCTGATAAAATTCCATGCAGAATCCTCACTGTCCAGAATTTTAAGATAGTGTTTCTTTAACTCAGTTGCCACTGTTTTTGTGGCATATACATGAAGACCATTTTTTCTATACAACTACATAGTAATATGCCATCATAATTCAGTAGCTCGTACTAAGTTAAAATCGAATACTGCGTAATTTTTTAGTCAAATCTATAACTTCCGTGTAAGGAAAGATACAGACAAAACTCACAGAACACACGCGCTATCTGTGCTACATGATTAAATGTAAATACAACCTTAAGTAAACAACAGATTTACCACTTAGCAGGCCGACTACAGTTGATTACTGTTTGCATTAAGATGTCATTAGTACAAAGAACTTTGAGACCCCTAAGTACGATGATACCGTCGAAGTGGAATTCCGATAACTAGCTAAGTATTGTTCAACGATAGTTTAATAGTCGACGAAACGATATGTACTTTACATAACATATCGTTTGTCCTTAAAACGCCTTCAAAATAAATAAAAATACCGTCATAAATATGCGTTGTTCTCTGTCGAGATGAAGTAAGGTGAAACTATAATAATATATCTCAAAAGAAGTTACATGCATGAAAAACTCTTAAAAAGACCTATTTCTTAGCGTTCCATGGATTCACCGTGCGGTTGTCGGGTACATCGCGTGATAGATGGGGCCAACACTTCAACAGCGCCTGGGAATTGCCACCCAGGTATAGTTGTAGGGAGTAGCTCACCGCCACTGTCTGGTTACCCCCTCTACCTAACCATATCTGATAAGAGCCTAGAAATGCAGCTTTAGATATTTGTTCAAGAAAAGAGCTTACTAAAGCTCTTGGCAATCCAAGGTCTTTAAGCAGGTTATAGAGGAATTTAGCTGGTATAGCCCTCGCACCCACTTCCACGGCATACAACGCAACGACATAACCATTTTTAGTTATTTCCTTGGTTAAGTCAAAGTACTTGTTTCTTTTTATACAAAACTTAAAACATCCAAAAATCGAATACGGTTCTCTTTTTAAAATTGTTTTTCTTAGTAATAGTGGTCATAGATGTCTCTATGGCCACTTTGATTGTTTTTTTTTTTTGGAAATGTCAAAATACCTAACTGTTTTTATAAAATAAATATAATCTTTAAATTAGAATTAGAATCCAATTATTAGCATCTTTCATCAATCCAACTAATATTACGTCGCAAACTCATGTCGCCTATTTATTGCAGATAGCAATACTTGCTGAACATTTTCCAATTTTGCTGAGCTTAATTTAAATTTGTAGTAATCCACTCGAACAGATAACGGAACCCCTGACATTAAGAGATACATACGAATTAAATAAGACGATATATTATTATTTATACCTAAATACTTTAGGGACTTAGCCAGCTGAAACTGTATGAAAGAGTAGAAAAACCCTGAGAACTTGAATGACATCTTATGTACAGATAAACAACGTTTATCTACAAGCGTAGATTAAAAAATCATTCTTATCACAACAAAAAACATTATGTATCTAAAATCGTCAATAACACTAACAATGCATATTGAATGATTTTCAAATTATTATTTTTGTGAAATAATCGTTATTTATAATTTAAAATCAAGAAATAAAATATAATGTATTATCTTTAACTTGCGATAATATCGATGTATTCAATTTAAAAAAAAAATGAGGTGAAAATAGTCTACGATCTATTCCAAACTATAATACATCTCTATGACAAAATGCAACCATTTTATGATTAGCTTGTCTGGCGCGATTGAGTAACAAACATCGATCGAAATTCTCGCATTTATAGCAGTAGAATGAAGATGAATAACATTTCTAGAAGATGCTCTCTGTTTCCCACCATAAACGAAAATCAGTTTAGTACAAAGTTCCACAATTCATAAATAGATGCAATGCTCAATGTAAGTCTAGTAAACGGTAGGAAATATTTATCTAGTCCTAGAATATTATTTTCAGTGCATTTATAAATTCTTCTATTATACAGGTATGAGTGTGTGCACGCACACAGTAGATAATTATGACTCATGACTCGATAATGACCACTATTTGCGCTTTAGATTTCTTTTGGAAAGCAGGTCCTGGCAAACGACAAAAAAAATGTCTATGCACATTGTATTTTTCTTAAAAGGAAAAAAAAATAGGTTACGATAAGTTGCGGTCATTATCCTCCTTTAATACCTATGTGTTTTTATTATTTAAATTATATGAATAGTTCTCGTTTTCCTAATAAATATTAATGACCTTCCTTTATTCAAGAACAATTACTAATACATGTACGAGTATTAATAAATCTTTGGGTGTTCCAGTCTTTTGTTATATTCCTCAGACACCTAACTAACCTAACGATTTCTGGAACACTTCCAGAACGTTCGATGCAGTGCTAGATATTTTTGGTTTCTATTTTTGGTACAGTTTTCCCATATATTAGAGATAGGAAACAGAACAGGCAAGTTTGAAACAAATGTAAAGTACATACCTTCAGCGGACGGGAGTACAATCTTCTCATTAGTGTCTACGTCACGCAGGCAGCTCTGGTTGAAACCTTCCAGCTGGCTTTTTAAGTCTGTGGCTACTTTGGGCAAGTCCTTCAGGGATGGGGCGTCGACTGAGCAGGCCATTGTATGGATTTATCTGCAAATTGAAATACGGAAAATGTTAAAATATTTTAAAGAAAATCTAAACGATACTTTACGGGCATTTTTTATGTGAATACACATCTAAGTATAACCATAGACAAATGCAATAATGACCTTGGTTGTACCTTTGTTTCAAAATATCGGTGCACGTATTGTCTATTCATTGCACGCTTTTGCTAAACGAAGTTAAAATAAACACTTAAGCATATTCACAACAAGTACGTACATAAATTACGCATTCTTTTCGTATTTAGAATAAGTATTTTTATCTATTCTATTACTGGGGTCTAGCGGTACACTCCCTCCGGCAACCATCGGCATTGCAACATGGGCATACTAAACTTGCACGTTATTCTATGGATAATTTAACGTAATTTGTGGATAACTTTCGCCTATGTCTTATTTTCTATTACTTCTTGGTTTAATAGTATTTTTTTTGTATTTTCGTTAAGTCTAAAGAAATTCTAAAGATCTATATACAGCAGTGAAACCTTTACTTTGTCAAAGAATATGGTAAAGACAAAAACAGTTATGCATTTATTATCGACAATATGTCTACTGAATTTAAATGCATATCCCATATTGTTTATGTTTATCGCTAGTAAGTAAGCAATATATTTGATACTACAATAGAGCAATCAGAACGCATGCAATATTTCAAGTTTAAAAATTTAAAAAAAACTCATGAGCCTCAGATTAAATAACCATAAACGTTTAAAAAGTGATAGCTCCGCCTACATATAAGAAAATGTAGCCACTCCATTCAGCTTTGTTTACGAAGACAATCGATTCATGTCAGGCATGACGGGCGTACTCGCCTGGTAATATAATGGCCGTGTAACCATATCACAACCAAACAGTAGGTAGGATTATACAGGAATGAAGCGAATACTTTTAAGTTTTTAAACTTGATGCTTGATGTCTTTCAGATATTAAAAAGTGAGGAGGTTAGTAAAAAAAAGTTAAAAAAATATTCGATTCAAACACACTGCTACAGTAGAAGAATGTTTAATAACATAACAAGGATCGATCGCAGAGGATTTAACAATGTACGATTGTCACTATTAGAAAGCCGACATAAAAATAAATCGTACATGAAATACTGAAAGTGATAGTGCTATCACTTAAGAATATGCAAGTAAAACGAACTTTTCATGAATACTTCTTTCGTTAACCGTCAGATTGTCCATGATCACAAATTTAGAAAAAAAAAGCGTCGTTGTCAACGTCAATAATGGCGGTCTTTTATCTTGACATTTCAACAGCCAATTTAGACACGGTTGTCTGTGACCTCTTCAATTACAAATCGTTGCTGACCTAACTGTATACTCAACAAGATTATGCGTACCACCGGTATTGTGAAGTTAAGATAACTGTTTATCCAGCCCACGTGTTACAAATGCCGAGAATGGTGTTCTATTTATTCTACACTATGAATAAACTTGTAGTATACTCTATTTATAGCGAGTTAAATACAGAAGAGATATGGTACAACACTATTAAGCTATAAAAACAAGGTTACATGTGATAGAAGATAGTAATAGAAATTTCTATTTTCATTTTACAACTATCGAGTCTTGATTTCAAGTACGATAGCATTAACTTTTACATTTAAAAATAAATTAAAGTTCTTTTACACGTCTTGTGGCGTTATTTATGAGGGTATTTGTAAAAAATAAGAGACTTGTTAGTACTCGTTTATCAATACTAAAGAGTTTTTTATACTGTGCCAACCAGTAGGCCCAAACCTCCTTTCTAAAGAGAGGCCTATGTCCAGCAGTGGACTATTAAAGGCTGTTGATGTGATTATGAAGAGTTTGTTTTGTTTATTTGTTTAAACCAGGGATTCCCAAACTATTTTTGGCAAGAGACCTCTTTGCCAAAATTAACTGATACCTCAGACCCCCAAAGATAGCTAATTTACTTTAAAATCCTATCTCTAGTTTTTTAATTTTAATACAAAATACTTATGTACTAATTTAAAAACTTTGTTGTTAGTTAATTGAGTAATGTTGACATCAATTTAAAAAAATAAATAGACATATTAGTCAGTCTTATAGAAGTTGGTACACATAACACAACTTATACAGTATCTTAAAGTTTAAGGTTCGATTTTTAAACCTTGTTGCCCCCCAAAATCAGTTTTCGTTTATGTCGATTTTGACCCTGGGAAACCGATTTTGATCCCAAGGGGTCGATATCCACCACTTTCGCAATCCCTGGTTTCCGTTGCCGCTCTTTGAGCGCTATCCAGAATGACACTCAGTGAAAAGCGATGAAAGAACTGCTTAACACCGGTTTTCTGCGATGCCGTGGTTTCACTCCTGTCGAGCCTGGCCATATTATTATGTGACGAGCATGGCTCTCGCATGGTAAAAATATTTTTATCTCTGATATTTTCTTATCGTTAACTATTTTTAAGCATGAATAATTAACCATTTGTCTAAAGCTTCTAATTGCCGTATATAGGCATTTCATTATTCTATTGCAAAGTCAGTTGTTAGTAAAACCTTCCTCGGCCTAAATGAGTTCTATTGTTCTGATGTCATATTTAATGACACACACGTCACTTTGTGGTTATACTCGGTAGTTTTGTTACATAGACAATAAACTTTTCCTATATAGAGTAAACCACAAACTGAAATAATCAGTGTTACGTTCGATGACAAAAATGATTGACTTTAAAACTAGGTATTTTATTAAAATATGTTTTAGAAGTGCAAAATATAGCTAAAAGTCATTTTAAAAATTGATATATAGTACTTATGAGTACATCATGATGACCATGAAAAATAAGATCAGTTACCGCTTCCAAGTACGCGTGGAATTTTAATCTTGCAACACTAAGTAATCAAATAACATTGAAAAAAAAACAGTACATATCAGTAACATGTACAGACGCGCCGGGTCCCACACTCCCGCTGTATAGATATATATGTATAGATTATCTTTTACGAAGAAACAGCAAGTTTAATACGAGTTTTTTACTAGACAACTTACTGTTTTGATAATAAATAAAGAGAAATTGACTTGACCTGTACAACAACTTCTTGAAACACACAATTTGTTAAAATTCTATTGAAGTATTATTTGCTTAAATACTTTCGAGAATAATATAATCATTTGATAATCGTGTGTGCCAAATTAGTGTGTGTGCATAAATGAGCAATAAAGAAAGGAAGTATCGTCAAAAAACAATTAAATGTTACTTGGATCACAAATGCATTACTTTCTCTTTAGTTTCATATAATCTGTGAATAAATTGTGTTTCACTATTTTTAAAATAATTTGATATAATTTAATAGGTGGGTAAACTTAACATTGAATGATAACTTACAAAATAACTCTTTTAAAAAAATATCAGATAATAGTCTATGGTATAAAAAAAAAATTATATATAAAGTTCACATTTTCAATGAATCATGGCCGTATATTGGGCTACGTGTGCCGCATATTAAAACATCGGGTCATTGTTGTCGACAACATGCTATGTATACTAAACTAGAATATCCTGTGGATAGGGAAACAGAAACAGTCTTTTGTTTCATGAGGATGTTTAATCAGCGGGCACACGAGGCGGTTTCCAAACTAACTTCTCATTGCGGTAGTTACTTAGAAAAAAAGTCGCATGGAATACCTAGCTATAACTTTTTTAAATGTGCTAATTTTAAAAGATTGTGAGTTGGACTTAAATTAACTGCACGGATGGCGTGATGGTTTAAGCGGTAGCCACGTCGCTTCCTACTGCGCGGAGTTTTGTGGGTTCAACCCTCAAATCCCTTTTTGTTTACTAAAAATTGTTTTTGTGAGTTTGAGTGTTCTTTGTGTCCGTTTCATGTAGGTATGTTTATTTTTTTTTATATAAACAAAAAAAAAGTTTAAATAACATTGATTTAAGCAAATAAGGCTATATTTTGCCATAGTTGTGCTAAGAATTGGTGTGTTTATATGTCCATTAATAAGATAATTTTATGGCATAAAACCGCGCCATCTTTGTGGACAATAGCTGTCAACTGTCAATTCTGTCATTCGCAGTTGTTCGATAAGGATAAATGAAGACCATTTTTAGGAAGGGAATGCGATAATAATATCTTATTACGACGTATTGTACGAGTATAGTGAACTTTCTGTTTTTTCTTCTTCACTCATCATAACGGCACAAGAAATGAACGAACAATATTTTTGTGGACGAGAGTTATTTTTTCGTCCTTTTTTGGACCTCTGACAAAGAGTATAACTATTTTATATTTATCATCACAACATACTCATTTTTTAAAGCGAAAGTTACTCGCCCCGGGTTACTTTCACCCTAGGTCACCAGTCTTATGCAGATAAACCTGAGCAGAATACTTTAATAATTAATATTCAAAATATGATCATGCTTCAACTTGGGAGATAAAAACAATACATTTTATTCTCGAATATTCCACAAATGTAACTTTATTATTAATGAATTTTTTATTGTGATATTATTATAATACTTGATATGAACGGTAGAAAGATCAATAACCTTAGTTTTATTATTAAATATTCAGCCATCCGTAGAGGTTCGCGAATTCTTAATCCGTATCGATTTAGATAAAAATATGTATTTTATTTTCTTGCCGTCGATTCTGACATTTGTTATCGTCATTTACATTTGTACAGTTTGGTAATTCGGTGTCATATTATATGTACAGAGAAAAAAAACCGTCTGTATAGTAGACACATTCTTAGTGGGAGTAATACAATTTCTTTTTTATAATAGATATGAGATTGTTATTGTTTTTTCTAGAGGTATTGAATCACCGAATTCTTTAAAGTTTTGACATAAATGCGTTTCTTATTCATTTCGACCGTTACTCATAATAAATTAAATTTAAATGTAAGCTGACGAAATTTTGTAAACAGGATAAACTTAAGTCAGTATATATTTTAAATTGTTTGAGTTTAACTTTGGAGCAGGTGGCACTGGCTGTAGGTATTTATATGTCGGCAGGTGT